ACCATCCACAGTTGATTTAGTTAGTTAAGTAAGCCGCTGACCGCTGGTTGCGTTCCAGACTCCATCGAATGAAACGCTAGCTTTGTGTGTTATCGACTCATTCAATTTTGCTGAATCACCCAGGCATGGACTTTGTAAGGATATTAGCAGTTACATTTAACGCAAAAGCCAAAAACATTTAGCTTTTTTTCTAATTTAGAATTTGTTTTTGCTGAGTGTTTTTAGAACATACTGAACTTCTAATTTTAAATTTTCTAATTTAAAATTTGCCTTTTCTTTTAAAACCGGTCAAGGGAAAATTCTGATTGCCGGTTCCCGAGCACCATAAAAACTGAAGGCGGCGGCTGTGGAGTAAAACGTACAAAATCGATTTTGCATTCTAATCACTTACTCAAAATGAACTTAAACGTTTCATAAGCGTGATTCCGCATGTTTTGAAATTTCTTGGCAGCGACAAAAGTTGTCGCAGAAAGCAGCATGTTCTAAATTTTTGAAGTTGGTTTGTTTTAAACAATGACTGATCGAGCCACAAGAGTTGGAGTCATCTTGCAAGTCCCAGAAAAACAACCAGCCGTGAAAAACTGCATTAAACCGTCGCCTGTTTGCGATTGCGTCAGTTACAGTGCACCTGTTAACGGGTTTTTCAAAATATCAAATTTTTAATTTTGGTTCAATCCACACCAAGGGGGCTAATTTCAATATTTCAGGCAGGAAATGGGTGCTAAAATGAGCACATTCTCATTCCAACAGCACGCTGATGGAATGAAAATCTTCAAAAATTCGTAATTTTGTTATTTTCCGTGCTGAAATTTTTTATATGCGCTTAAGAAATATTAAATAATATATACTATTAGGAAGAATAACTGATTTTCTGATTTGATCTCAAGGTTTGGCACTTGGAGCATACGTGCTTAGCATAGCCGCCTATGAGAAATCTCGAATGAGTCTTCCGTAGACATCTACTTATGTTGGCAGCTAAGGCTCACAGTGAATAACCCAAAAAAAACTGAGAGTCAGTTTTTTTGCCTAACGTTATTCGTTATTTTGTATTTTTTAAGCTTATACAAAAGAATTTAACACTAAAATTTACAAAATTACGAATTTTTGAAGATTTTTATTCCAGCAGCGTGCGCCATGGGCCGCCGCACGCGTACTTTAGCTACGTTGCTGCTAGACAGCTGGCAAAATTTTGCCAGCGGCCCAGCAGTATGGCAAACAAAATCGACAATAAATTTAAGAAATAAGAATGGACTGCTTTTAAATAGTATGCTCTCGTCGTACATTGTATAGTACTCAACTACCCTCCAAAATTGTTGCAAAACAGGTGCGTGTCACAATTTGGTTACTGACTCCCGTACACTGTTCAGAAACAAGCCTTATAATTATAGACTATAGAAAGTCTCATGTATTCTCGATATATACCACGACCGACGGAACTATTTCCGCGAGGAAATGCCACGAAGTGTTTTATTAATATATAGGATAATTATTCAGCATACAGAAATACAGACATAATTTATATCTATATAAGGGGCGAAACTAGGCGTCTTCTACCGTTCCCCTGTATTGCTGTCGTCACCCGCCTGGAGTGTGGCGTAACGGCAGTACATATGGTTAAATCCGGTACATAAGCCGAAGCGCCATGTACAGCCACAACGTAAAACTCCAGCCGGGTGACGGCAGCAGTACATGGGAACGGTGGAACATGTCTGGATTTGCCCCCTATATTTCTGTGTGCTGTATATTATCATCGTATTGTTAAAATGGGTGCCTGTGCCGTAAGAAACAGAATGCTAATAATTTCGTCAAAGCTGTTTTATAAGAATATATTATCGAATTCCCAAAAGAAAAGTAAAGACGATAAGTTACCACGCAAGAAATGATCGAAAACGATTACTAACGAAATAAATAAATTACCGGTACGTACTACAATTCGCTACAAAATTTCAGAAAATCTAAAACAGATTGTTGTTGACGATTCTTGCTGCCGGCCGCACCATTCGCAAAATACAAAATTGTTTGTGAAGTCACCGGATATTTTAGGGCAATTTGGAAAGTTTCTTTGTCTTTGCTCGCAATTTTCTTTAAATTATGGTTGTACCAAAATCATTGTTACTAATAATAAAGACAATAAATAAACGTAAATAAACAAAACCTATACGAAGATTAGAGGTCATATCCTGGAGTCCGAATTACGGCAAATATAAAACTATGCAAGAACTTTTCCCGAATTGCGTTATCATTATTTGGTCAATGTGAGTATTTCTAACTGCTTGATTCATTATTTTCAAAATGCCTTTTAGAAGAAAACTTCAACATTAGAGCATTTTTTGCTGCGCGCTCATTGAAAATCATGATTTCTCAATTTACTGTAACTGACGATAAAATGTTAGAAATCCATGATGATGTGGCACTTAGGCTTCTTTTGTTAACCTGAATACGGGTATTTTCACAACTATTTTGACAATAATTTTTTTCAGTTTTCTGTTTATGTTTTTCGTTAGAATTGTTTTTAAAAATATTGTTTTTGACTTCGGTAGGTTTGCCTTTGTGTATTGCATGCCTGCCGCATTTATTTATGCACATAGTTTTTTTTATGCATTTATGCAAAATGAACCCGTCGCGTCGGGCTCATATACATTGTATATGCACATTGCACAGGTTGTTTTTATGCAGTCTTACCTGGTCGTATCGGACGACGGGAGATCACTACAAACATTGACGGTTTCTGTTCGAATCGCTACAGATGAGTGATTTTTTGGATACGTAGCAGGTACCTGCGTTTGTCAATTGACGGTTTACGTAGTATAGTGGCTAATACACCTCCAACAAAGCAGATGCTCCTTGCTAATATTTCCTTAATTTGAAGCAACTCTCCGTTAAATTATGTTAAATTATATTCTCAACGGATTGAATAATTTTTTATCTTAGTGTGTATAGTTGGCTTAGCTTTCTTGATACCGAGCTTTTTCTTATAAAAGTTACTTTGTTTTGCAAAATTCTGCAGGAGGCAGTGCCAGACACAAACAACGCCAGGCGTTAAGTTGAGGCAGGTTTCGTGATGGACATTATCAGTATTAATATGGCTTATAACGTACTAAAACCTCCTTGATGGGTGGCCACGCAAAATAGTAGCAAGACTTCATTATTTACTAGTTTCACCATAAAATTTCATTTACGGTGTATAAACATTCTGTGTTTCGAGTCGACGACTCGACGGGAATGTTATTAGCCAAAATTATACAGAAACTACTTTCCTAACCGGTCAAAACGAAGATAAGATCCTCCATTGATTGACACTCGATCCCGTCGCGCACGCATTTCAAATCTGGAAGTTCTGCAATTGTTGGAATACAGTATGCACAAATATTCATTGAAAGCTAAAAAACGTTAAAAAAATAAAATTCAGGAAAAATTTAACAAGATAAACATATATGAACAAATAAACATACAAATATACAGTGTATCGCGCAGATATAAATATACAGCACACTCTGTACAGTGTATCCCGCAAAACACAAATTAAAATAGAAAAATATTGAATGTTGAATAAATAAAAAAAAGTTTATGAGAACATGAAAATTAAACAAGCTAGCACAATATAATTTGCCTTGTTTGTGTAACCATATGTGTGTTTGGTCGCCATCAGCAAGTAACAAGTGAATTATTACTTTGGTGACCTGTGGAGTGAAATCATTGAACAAGTGAAACTGTGAACAATACAAATGCATAATTTACTGTGAATTTCGGCTGCAGTAATGAAGTGCGGTGGCTGCGTAATCATCCATTGAACTTTTGATGTTGAATGTGCACAGCGTCATGGTGTCCTCGCACATGTATAGATTTGTCCTAAAATTTTTTGGCGCATTTTCCTTAATCATAACGGATTGTCTTGTAAGATACACGCAAAATTTTAAGCACCTACCCTAGTTTACGCATCATTTTAATAATTTGCGTTTTCCATCGAATCTGCGCCAGTATATTATTGAAAGAATTGCTTTCGTACAACTTAATGCTACAAAGTAAATTCGAATTTCCCCTGATGGGAAGGGCTCACTCAGTGAACCGGGAAAATAATTGGCTAAAAACTGAATAATCAATTGAATTTATTCTGTAGGACTGCAGGAGTTTTTTCTAGAAATTTAAAATTAAAAATTCAGGTTTTCAGAGAAAGCACTGGGGCTTTAATAATTAAATAAGGTTGCATGGAAGAACTAGACTAACGAAGACTGCAGTACCAAGGTCATTGCCTGTTTTATTGTGTGTCTGTCGTGATTTATTGGGCGGAGTGGCATCGGTGAGAGACACGGAGACAGGATGCCGCTGGCGCATTTACCGTTGCTTTCTCTTGAGGTTGCTGTTGTGTTTTTATATTGGTGAAAGTGTCAAAAATCGCGATAAATGTGGACAAACAATGATAATTGCCAATAAAAATCTGCGTTACCCCGTAAAATTGATCGTGTAAACGATAGGCGCCGCGCGTGACTCATCCTTAAGACGATAAATACAAATACAATAATTGCATATACAACAGAAATAAAACAAATGCATATGCAAGCTAAATAAATTAGTGTCAATCAGGGCTGGCTAGTTGCCAATTAGTTATGTTAACTGGCTATTGCCTGAAAAAAGAGAAGGTAAATAATATATTAACTTCATGTGCAATTTATCGCGATTTTTTACTGCTACCACTGTAGTTATTTATTCTGCACTACGTAAATCGTTAATTTCGATGAGTTTTAACTGGAGCAAGTTAAGGGCAATTTGCGTTAATTTAGGTTTTCACAACTGCCTTTATTATCTGCATGATTCAACTCATGCTCCCTCTCTGATTCATGATTCACCGATGCGAAAATTGAGCTGACAAAATCTATAAATCTTCATGCATCATCTTTTACTCACTTCGCTTCTTTTGAGTGTTGTTTTCCAACGTTTTCCAGGATCCCGGGGTGCCGAGCCTCATGAAATGCTGTATGTACGTTGTAGCTTAACTGGGCAGCTTATCTGCATGATTCATCATTTTATTCCATCACTTTATCAGCACTAACAATTAATCTCTTTATTAGTGCCTCCCCTTTCCCGTTCTGAATCGTTTTCGGTTAACATTTTTAGAGCAAAAAAATACAGGACAAACAGCTATAACAACAACCAACACAAAACAAGGAAAGCCAACAGAAGTGCCTTCATCACGAAGTGTGTGTACACGTGTCCGAAACTGGACGGTATAAGACTGCGTTTCCGGAGCCGGCGGTCAAATATTGCCGGTTTAGTAGATATGGTTGGATTGGGTGTCATACCAGCCGCCGCGGCCCACCGTGCCGGACGGTAGATAATGCTGGTCTTTGCTGGCGTACCCGTTGTAGATCACCGGACAACACTGTTAATTTGATAAACAACAACGATTTCGCTGCATTTTTCTCCCAAAAATGTGCAATGGGTCCATATTATTATAATTAGCTGTTTTAAACATTTTTGTTTGCCACCTATGTTCGTATTAAAATGTGAACAAATCCGCGATTCATCTATCTGTTTTCTAACACCTTTATTAGCAGTGATCTAAAACGTGAGAATACTACACTAATTAGCATAAAATTTTAACCATAAGAAAGGCTGTGCAATATGATATTAATAATATTACGCGGCTGTGCTCAATAATATTACGGGCTGTAAAGGTCACCTTTATGCGCTGTGCTTAAAGTAAACTTCACCATAAAATTTTTTTAGGAATTATTAATAATTAATATAAATTTATTGAATTACAGGAAAACGGATGTTTTCATTTTACCTGCATCCAGACGAAATGATTGAGTCCATCGTTGGGATTAACGGCCTGTCCAAGCCCGGTCATAACTTCATTCGTCTCACATTTCACGAGCCAGTAGCCGTCGTAATGCTCTCCGCGTCTACAGAAAAAAAATTTATTTAGATAAAGTAGATAATAATATGTTTATTTAGTGAAATTAAATTAGACATATTTAAATAAAAATCTTTCAAAATCGTCCGTGAAACAGATCGCAGTATGACGCACTTATCGTGTGTGTACTTCCATTCGCAACGCGAATAGTCGATGTGGTATCCCGCTGGGGTTTTACCTGTCGTATGGTAAAGGTCACTTAGTTATTATGTCATTACAACTGTCACAGTTAAGCTACAACGTACATACAGCATTTCATTAGGCTCGGCACGCCGGGATCCTGGAAAACGTTGGAAAACAGACCTAAAGAGAAGTTAAGTGTGCTAAAAATCGATGTACAGTAAATTTATGGAGTTTTTTAGCTTCGTTTTCGCACCGGTGGTGAAGGTATCCACCGTGTCTTTCGGCCAATACTTGTCGTAACAATAAAATTCTTTGGCTCCCATTGTAACGTTTCTGAAAAAGTCCCGAAATGATCCTAAGGATTTTATTATTAGATTAAACATTAAACATTTGTCTATATGTTTTCATTTTGATTTCCACAAAGAAGCGGTACTTTTTGTATTTTGATTTGCTTGTTTTTCCGATAAGTATTTCATCCGTATACATATAGTAAATGCGTACATAAACCTACGCTGGACATTTATATTTGCTGGCTGATTTTCAGCTTCTTCATATTTTTTGCTTATAATGATTTTTATCCCAAATAATGCTTACATGATAAATGTGAGAAAAAATAAATAAGAAGGTTGTACCTGACATTACAGCTGCTGTAGAAAGGATAAATGCCCTTTGACGGCGGCTTCATGGGGAACATAAATTTGCACCAGACCTCTGTGAAGACGGCACGAGCAAAGCGTGCATTAGAATTCTGTTTTAACGATACATTCGCGCTATTTTATTCGTCTGGAAATGATACTTACGTTCCACGCCGATGAACATGCGCACCGCGTCAAAAATTCTGCAAAGACCGTTAAAAATTAGATAATCGTAGTGCACGGGCAATGTCGGGAATCTTCTATCCATTTTCTCCCCAAGTATAATGCTAAACCCGAACGCAGCTATTGCTGATTTATAATTAGTACGTGCCTCTTAATTTTTTGGTCCATGAACAAACTCATTCTGCTACATCAGTGGTTTTTGATAAAATTTTTATATTTTGTACGAAATGAGTTATTGATCAATTCTCACAGAGTTTATTCTTTTGAACTAATATAACCACAAAATAGGAATAATTTGCGTCAGGCAGATTTTTACAAAAAATTTAAAACAGTATATCTGTATAGATGTAGATACGGTTTTTGATTTTTTTAAAAAGTTAATATTATATTTATTTTCGCTTTCTCGCAACATAGTCCTGACAAATAACTGAAGCGAACATTTTTGATATTATTAGTAAATGTCGTTATTTCAGCAGATGCATACAGATACATCTCTTTCTGTCAGTCAAATTATTCTTGTCATAATAAAAATTGCTCTTTATTGATAAATCTTGTCTTAATAAAAAGGCGCTTCATTGATGAATTTTGTGTTAATAAAAATTTGTCTCTCTCTCTAAAATTTCAATATAAACATAGTTCGAGTTTAATCTTGAGCAAACTGTGAATAAAATTACGGTCGTGCGTAGCAATTTTTATTTGTCGTAAAAACACCGGGAACGACCCTTATAAAATGATTCAATCTGCAATAAAACCGGCCACGCAGCGAAAAACGAAACCGAAAAAAGAAAAATGAATAAAAAATGAATTATGCAATGAAGCCATTAACTGCCGGCAGTTGCAAGTGGAAGAAAGCTCAAGAAACGATTGTTCTCGAATTATAAACCGGAGAAAAAGAAGTCTGACGGGAAGTGTGAATGAACTTGACCTTCAAAGTGGCCTTACCCGATCATGGCTTCGCCGTCATTGCACTCGGTCAGCCACTTGTTGTAGGGGTCCGAATATCCCCCGGCAAAGTAGTTCGTTCCTAATATACAGTCACCGGTACCTACACAAAAATAAAGGTAAATTAATAAATTATTAACAACATTAGAAGTTTTATTTTGCTGAATAAAGTATAACCAAGGAATTCACAATTTTAAAAAACGAAAATTAAAATAAGAGCACAGCAAAGCTATCAGGGCGAGCAAAACAAACAAACGCCGGTAAATATCATCTTTCTCTCATAGTAAAATATGTAATTCTCCGGTTTTACTAAAAAATGCAACTTCGCTTTCATAAAATGCTGTTTGCTATTTATTAACAAAATGTAACTTTCATTAGTCGCTTATTTTCCATTTTCTAAGTTTTATTTTTTTAGCAGGATCATGTCAGAAAAATTAACAAGCAGTTGGTTAGATATGTGTACGACGATCATAAAAATCTTTACGTTGCGAAACCGGTTGGTTTTCAACAGCGTAATTTCAGGTTTGCCTTACCAAAACATTTATGTCGGTCATAATATCCGGCAAATACACTTATCACATCCAGAATCACCGCTACCAATCCCGAGAAAACTATCCTGGATAGCCGCATAATGCCGTCGGCTAATTACGCTAATTATGCAGACAGCCAATCACAGCTTAGTCGCAATTAACACACAGTCACTAGGCAAATCCGATTAAAGCCGCGCAATAGCCGGCGCACACATTCAATCTCCAATCATCCGCTTGATTTATCCACAGACAAAAAACAGATAAAGGCGTCGAATAGCCAATCACAAAACGGGATTACCGCCGGTTAATTTAAACCGCATAGAATTTATTAAAACTTGGTGCTCGTCATGCGGAAAAAGAGCAGGAAGGTAAAAGATGATTGTAGAGTAAGAAAAGCCGGCGTTATTGTTTAACACACAAGAGTACTGATCAAAAGCGGCAGATGGAGCGTGTGTGGAGAAGTGTGTGCTTTTTGCAGCGAGCAATTTTTCTTTCTTCTCCTGCGTGATGCTGCTGTACATTTTCGGCGTTTTAAGCCCGTCGGCCAAATTACACTGATCTTGGCGCAGGAGACAATGAACTGCACGGATTTACTGTATCCGTTAAAGGCGCAGTACGCTGGTTTTACAAGTGCTAATTTTCTGCCGTTATTTTGTGGCGATTGTTATTTTGAAGTTTGAACGATGCCGGGTAAATGTGTAAAGTCAGATTTGTGAGGTGTTGAATGCGGACGAGCGATGGATTCTTGACATAATTTTCGGTTTGACAGAGAAATTAAATAATAAAATAAATAGCCAATTAACTAAATAAATAAGCAATAATAAAAGATAATTTAAGTGAAAAATAAGCAAATATGCTTATTATTACTTACTTCTAAATTCGGGATAAGTTAATGCCCAATAAACAATGAAATTTAAGTAAATACTAAAAAAACTTAAATACTTAAATTAAAATGAAACTAAATACTTAAAATATTAAAAAGAAAGTGTTAATTAATAAATTTATAATCAAAATTAGTGATAGTAGCTCAGTAATATTTTCTGACAAATGTATTTCTTTATAAGCAACACTTTGCTAATTCAGTTTCGTCTTGATGCTGTTTTCATATGTATTCCGCCTAGCAAGCGGTGAAAAACATAAAGTGCGTGTTAATCAGATCTGGTTAGAAATGCTGATCATCATTAAACAGCCACATTAAAGGATAATCATCCCCATTAATCAACAGCAATTATGACGGGTGTTTCAGTAATCCGCAACGTGGATACATTGTCGATGCTCGTAGTGACTGCAGACTGCCGAATGCGGCATCCCGCGGCGCATCGATATCGTTCGAATTGGTCATGTAGAAAGGTTTTGAGTAATGAGTTTACTCACATCGGAAGTGGATACACGGTATAGACTGTAATGACAGCGATACTACCGCTGATTAACCGTTATGAATAAATCACCATAAATTTATGCGGGATTTGTAATTTATGCGCAACGTTGTGGTCAAGCGTAATAGCGCAGAAGATACTCATCTTTATACTCGTACACTGCTCATTACAATAAATATTGCGGAAGATTCGTATTAGCATGGTTGTCTAACCGGTTGACCATGCATTAATTGCTCTTTAACCGGCTTGCCATGAGCCCAGCACTGTCAAGCTGAATATGCATCTGTCACTACTTACTACTGCAATGCGCGCAGTGTGTTGCGTGCAGTCCGGTCTTTACGTCAAATTGCCACTGGGACAAAACCTTTATTTGATTGATATTTCATTGCGATTGATCCTCCCATCTGTACCTGCTGTAAATCTAAAAGCAGCACACTTTAGCCTTTCACTGCCGTTCGGTTTTGTTGAAACGGATTTAGTAGAATCAACTAAACACAGCGTTCACTAGGCTTTACAAGAAGAGAATCGTAGTACACGGGCTCGATATCTCCCGTTAATCGTTGGCGTACGGGCATAAAGCAATATTTTCTTACATGTACAACCGCGGAGTTCAGTGAATCATTTACGATATTTTTTGCAACAACGATGCCCCTAATCGTATTAAATTTTTAGATTAGTCAGATGTTTCCATTAGAGGCGTAATACCGGAATTACAATGCAAACATGACCATAGCATTTCTGTGATTGAACTTAATTCTACCACTTGTCAGACTGTGGCTGATGTCGTGGTTGGTTCGTTTCCCGGGAAACTGTTTAGTCCTTGCAAGAATCCGGTCGTCATTCACAATCTCAAGCGACCCCTCAAACACCACATCCAGTACTGTTTGAATGGACAAGAGGGGCGCCCTTTACCAGCTCCTTCACCAGAACGGCATATGTGGCGAAGAATCCCATCAGCTGCTCAACGAAGCCAACAACAGCAACGCAAATACATTACGTGTAATAAAAATAAGCCGCTTAAATATGTAGCACCACGCACCGCTGCAATGAATCCGCGGTCAATGACGAAGAACCGTCCTCCGGTCAGCCGTGGTGGTGTCTGCCGCATGGAGCGCAAAAGATGCGCGTACTCGATCGTCGCCAGAGAATGAGTGAGTCCCGCCTCATCCAGCGGTGCTAACAGCTTGTCCAATAGCTGTTCTAACTGCCAAACAAAAGCACGATTTACCAATTGCAAATTCTTTTTGTCCACTAGTATTCTTATCGACTTTGATGTTGTTTGACGGTGTTTAACCTGGTCGGCGAATTTTACGAGTACATCCGGTACAATGTGAACTAGATAGCCCGTGTACGTAAGTGCATTATCGAGCCTGAAACGTTAATTAATGTTTTTCTGCCCAGCACTGAGTGAGCCGGTACATTTTATGGGCCGAAAGATTCGTGAACTGAGTGGAGAACCGTGTTCCGCAGCTTTTATTACGCAACGTTCAACTCAACTCTCAAGTAGTGCGCTCTTTAAGTTTTTTTGTAATTTTGATGCCCACTACTAAAGAAAGGCGCTCTCGACACATTGCACGGTGCCAGCTTTCTGTTGTGATCGAGACAATCGTAGTACAGCGGCTTTCGCATTCTGTCCCAAGTTTACAGTGCTCGCATTCGGTGTGTCCTTAGGTTCATACAATGCCTTAGTTTGACGTTTAATACTTGTATCTTTTTTTGCCACACTTCGATTTACTTCAAATTTTACTCACTTTGATTAAAAGGTTCCATATTTCGCTAGGTATCAATATTCCACACAAGAAAATTTGCAGAAACGATTTCTTTTTTTTGTGAGAATGCCGAATTGTACCCGGCTTGGCTGCTCAATAAACAACCAATAAATCTATCAATTAATCAATCATACTAAAAACTTGCTCATCAATTTATAAAAACAAATATTAATAAAATTCAACAAAAAACAAAGTGCATAAACAAAAGCATAAATGATGAGCAAAATGAGGAGAAGGCATATTCATCTGTCAGCATTTATTCATGTAGCGCGCCCTATTTATTCATGTAGTATCCATCGCCCCATGTTTCACCGGTGACCGGTGAGCGTAATACAAATCCATTTACCTAATCAAAGTGAGCGAAATAAGAGATATATTGAAGTACGCATAAGTTACGCATAAGTAATGATGAGTTATATGCCCACCTCATCCTGCAGTTGGATCGTCAACACCACCGGCACCAGCAGCGCCGTCACCACCAGCACAATCACCAACGCCGGCACCAGCGCCGTCACGGACCCGTTCGCATCCGGCTTGCGGAAGCTCTGCACGAATCCCAACACCGTCAAACTGCTGGCAGCAATGTGCACCAGCATTATTAAGGAAAACGCACTCTCAAGGGAAGTAATGTATTTGCGTATCTCCAACACTTTTACTCTAACGTCATCAGCAGTTTCATCTCTTGACAGACTGCGAATGCGATGAACTCCATCCAGGATAAACAAGCACATTATCGCGATAATTAAACTGGATAGTAACTGCGGGAAGCCCATGAACGGATACGTCACACACTGCCACGCCCACAACGGCATGTCGTCCGCGCCGACGACACCGAAATATTCCGTGTCCATGGTCAGCGGTAGCGTGCCGAGGGCGTACTCATAGCCCACCAGAAACTGCGTGATAAAATGCAGAATAACGTACAATATCGGGAAGAGTTTGCTACAATGTTTCCAGAGAATATTTTTGTAGGTATTTTCAGTGGATTGCGTCTGCAGAGCGCAGATTTTATGGAAGGATTTTTGTTTGAAGGTGAAGATGACTAAAATCAGGAGAGCGGCTTCATACGCGAAGAGGAAACGGGAGTATTCGATAAAAGTCAAAATGCCCAAGGAAATGGTGGAGTGGATCATGATCAGTACACTGAGCAACAGAAACACGGCGACCACCAGCCAGTAGCAGCATTTGATGGCTAAAATGCCAGCCGAGTAGCTGAATTTCTGGCAGAGGTGAGAGTGTTCTTCCGGAAAGGAGGTTCGAGACTGCGTGCGCAGGAATAAGAAAGTTCGGAGAATGGTATATGCCGCACCGGCCGACATCGTCGACATTTACAGATAATAGTTTACAGTGTTATTATTCTACGAAAGAAATAACAGATAGTTAATAGTTATAACTTATACATGTATCGGTATGATGATGGAAAAAGCGAGCCTGCTGGTCGATACGACGAGTCTACGGTACAGAAGTAGGTAATGTTATTGTCGTACCGTGGTGGCTGAATGAATTTGCCGGCAATGAACATCACGATTTAAATGGAAAGACTGGATCAACTGCAATGCTGACATTGCGGAAAAATTACAATATTAGTACTTCCTTTGTCTCGTTAATACGGATGCGGGGTGTGCAATGAAATTGACTCAGTTGACGCACATCGAGTGGGATCCATTCTCTGGATGGTCCTTTCTGCAGCTCTCCGGTAATTGCCGTCATTGCTCGATGCTGACTGAGCATGTTCTATTTGTACTCTTCAGTATTAAATTGTACGACATCTATTTACAGATACTAAAGCAAAATGAACGAATGCTCTGCATCGGTAAATCTGTCCTTGGAAGTAAGACCAGCTCTTCGCAGCCAGCCAATAAGCAAGCACCGGTTTCATATATGTAACACCAAGCACCAACAATATGTAACACGGGGGTGTACCAATTTAACCATATGTTGGGTACCTCTCGTCTTAATATTGTGTATATACAGATACAATAGGCTCAAGGCTTTTGTGTGGGTATTGAAATTCATTTAATTATTCGTATCGTTGCTGGTTGTTCCTCTAACGACGTTATTTCAATGACAATGTTGGCCATGATAAAGTATAATTTCAAAACCGAAGAAAACTCGTAACGAACTCCGAAATGACCAAAAGTGAAAGCGTGGGAACCAAAACTGTAGTCTAGTGGCACTTCTTGTAATTATTCCGCTTTTCTACCAGTACCATAATTAGGTCATTTTCAATAAAGCGCAAAAGTATTCTGAATTACGTGTCATTTCTTACATCCAGTAAGCAATTTAAAGAAATTTAATAAGTGTTTAAGTCGCAAAAGTTCTCCAGAACACCGGAGAAGCGCGTGTGGGCACGTTTTTGAAACAGCGCTGCAGCATCGCTGTTATTCGTGATCTCAACATGATAGACATCTTTACTTGATACCGAGTTCAGTAAAGGAAACGAATGGACACCGTCCGAATACACAGAACATATACGCCGTAGTGCGGTAATAACGATGCATGGGTATCAGTTAATTTATTCACTCAACTTTCGCGAGCTCGAGTCTCTAAAGAACTGAAATTGTCAAAATTTATGTACTGTACTTAAAATATACCGAAACGTGCGGCAAATAGCCATTTGATGCGGCGCCGGGAACACGTTGTGGTTACTGTGAGTAGCCACGGTTGAATTGACTGTCGTACCAGCCGCCGCGGCCCACCGACCCGACGGTAAACATTGCTGGTCTGTAGATCACCGTGACAACACTGTCCACAGAACGAAGCTAATTGGTGTGTATTACAATTATCTGCAAGAAAGTCAAAGGATTATTTATATATATTTGTAATCGAAGAATCAATTTGCTGAAAGGTTTTTTTTAGAACCACGATTCGTCTCCCAAAAGAAACAGAAATATTAATTTTAAATAGTTGATTGCAAACGATCTAGTGCACTATGTTGTACTAGCGCTAAGGCAGTAAATTAATAAAGCAAAACGTGGAAATTGCGCTAAAATAATAATACGAACCTGGAAAAGTGTTACATTAATTATAGATTCACGGCTTGTCCCAGCCCGATCATAACTTCATTTGTATCACATTTTGCCAACCAATAGCCGTCGTAATGCTCACCGCGTCTATAAAAAAATTACTTTAAAATTCAGAATTTGTTTTTATAAATTTGGTGATTTTTTTTATCTTGTCGTAATATCGTTTTTCTTCTTTTCAGTAATTTTAATAATTTTATAATAACTCTGAATATCGCAGCGCGACGTACTTATCGTCCGTGAACTTCCATTCGCAACGAGAATAATCGATATGGTATCCGGGCGGGGTTTTGCCTGTTATACAGGAAAGGTCACCCACGTTAGCCTTGCGCTCTAAAGTAATACGTCTTGGTTTAACCTACGTACAGCATTTTATCAAGCTTGGCCCGCCAGGATCCTGGAAAATGCTGGAAAACAGACCTGCATAGACACTAACGGAAGTCAGGATTGAGAATACTGATGAAATATTTATTCGATTTCTGCAATTTTTTGCGCACCAGTGGCGAATGTATCCACCGTGTCCTGCGGCCAATACTTACCGTAACAATAAAATTCTTTGACTCCCTTCGTGATGTTCCTGAAATGAGAATATGGTAAAATTCTGCATGTTAAACAAATGTTTAATAACATTTTAAAAATTAAATGCCTTTTTGCATACAGTCTCAGGGAAACATGTAGTCCCAGGGAAATAATTCACGAGTTCGGTAATTCGATTCAATTCAGTACATAATTTATAAAAAAACTTTGCTTAACGACTGCGTTGACTTACTTATTTCCTCACCTAACGTTACAGATGCTGTAGAAGGAATAAACGCCCTTGGACAGCGGCTTCATGGGGAACATAAATTTGCACCTGACCTCTGTATACACAGCAAGAGCACAGTCTCCTTTACGTTACCCGTTTCATGTGATACAATCGCGTTTAAGTATCACATTCTTAGCGAAATTTATACTAACGTTGCACGCCCATGAATATGTGTACATCGTCAAAATAGCTGCAAAGAGCAGTCAGTATTAAAATAATCGTAGTGCATGGGCTGTTGCTTCCAACTGTCTATTTCGCTATCCAGCCGAAAGCACATCCAGCCGCTATCCAGCCGAACTTTTGAATAAATTTTCATCGTTCGGTAAACGAGTAACGAACTAAAAAGTTAACATGCAATAAACTGAATAAAGCCATGAAGTTTTACAGGGCAAAAGGTTAAAAAAGATTGTTCGCTTAATATTACATCGACAAAAGAAAAACGGTACAACGGGAAATGCAAATGCATTTGACCTTCAACGTGGTCTTACCATACAGACAATGAACATACGCCGCGTCTCTCTCCGCTCTGTATGACAGGAGTAATCAGTCTCTCTCTAGTCCTTTTATATACATTGTCCGGATGCTCGGTCCATAATAGAGAGAAACTTTTCGGTATAGATGACGTCACAAATACCCTTGGCTGCTGAGCGTTCACTGTGTTCACTGTCTTGGTCTGTGAATAAGTGGTTGGTGGTCTGTTAACACAGTAAGTGGCTGGTCACTGCGATTTCTTCCAAGCATAAACAATAGAGCGATTAATCAAGATTAAATGCAATTACATCCAGACAATACTAGGAGATTTCTTTAACCCGTAAGAAACGTAACAACTAACAGCTCACACGAAATTTAGTTGCCATCGCACTGAGTAGGCTGTATGCATGTTAAATTTTGTTGAAATAATGCTTAACATTTGACTATAGCCTGCTAGCGTTGACTTGATGTATTAATTTGTGTTATATATTATGCGGCATTTAAAATGCCAGATTACTGTTATGTTCCAAACTGTCCTAATAAAAGAGGCACTAGCAAAGCGTTATCCTGGCATACATTTCCTTCGCGAGACAAACATCCTGATAACTGGCAAATCTGGTTTAATTTTTGTCAATGCGCTGAAGAACCGTCCACTGCTGCAGTAATATGTTCCGACCATTTTGTTAATTCTGATTATCACTGTGCCTATCAAGCGGAGTTATGTGGCCGAGTACGCAATCGCCGGCTTTTAGACGATGCAGTCCCATCACGTAACAGTCCCACGGATTTAAGGCCTCATGGATACTGCAGCCCAAAAAAGAAACGTGCTTTATCTGCAGGTATATCACTAAACTAACAACTCAAGCAGTTACTTTTAAGCATAATACAGAATGATTCGGTAACGACGAATTGTCAGTGTATTCGGTTGTAGCGTGAATTTAGTTTTATAGATGTTTTTATCGCTATTTGACGCTTATTAATTTGTCGAATATAGCAACAGTTGTATAGCATATGCATAATGTAATATGTGCATATATCATTATGTATGTATCGAGCCATTTATCCTAGCGGCTACGGAAATTTTCGTGCAGTCTCTTCTTACTATGCATGTAAAACATAAGACTTTAATGGAAAAGTCTCGCCGGTACGGGAGCTCCAAATCAAAGCACGCCTCTGCCGTTCACAAAGCAATCAAGTACGGATATGCACGACCTGAGTATGATGTAAGTATCAAGTATTAAGAATTCGTCATCAAATTTAAATAATTTGCCTTATTGTTGGATAATTTTACTTATTGTTGGATTTTTTAAATGTGTATATTCTCGGGTTTGTAGGACTGCGAGGAGGATGAAGATGGGGGAATGTGAAGGTTTTTGTGGTTTTTGATCGTTTTTGTTTTAATTTTTTCTGTCATATCTAGTACTTTGTGATGCATTACATTGATTGGTGCGCATACATTCGTTTCGTTACAGTGCATTATTAACGTTTATTGCTCGGCCGCTATTTTTGCGACCGCAAAAAATGAATTATGAAATAGACCAGTCATGACACAGTTCATTGTTCAGTTGAGGAACAGGGCGGAGCATGTCATAACCCGAGCATCCGACCAAAGTTTTATGACAGTGATTGCTCCTGTCATACAGAGCGGAGAGAGACGCGGCGTATGTTCATTGTCTCTATGGTCTTACCCGATCATGGCTTCGCTGTCATTGCACTCGGTCAGCCACTTGTTACAGGGGTCCGAATAACCTCCCGAAAAGTAGTGCCTTCCTAATATGCAGTCACCGGTGGGTGTACAAAGCACTTGCACTACAGTGCGACTTTGTATGCAATATTATTTTCACCCCAAACATTTTCAACTGCAGTGCCTGCATAGCAGAAGCACGGTACCGCATAAATTAATGTGTTATCGATTTCCCAACTTATTCTATATGCTTTTGATTCTTTGAAAGAATATCAAAATAAAAAAGGAAATGGATTAAGGCTGTGCAACAGCCACCCCCCCTTTTTCGCTTTGAGAGGAAAAAACTCCAAACAGGCTGTAGTTTTACATTGACAACAAAATTAAACTCAACAAAATTAAATTAAAAGAACAGAAACACAAAACATAAAACAAAATTAAAAACTTAAAAAACAGAAATTTATTAAAATTATTAAAAGCGTATTAAATTATGTAAGTAAACCTTTAGTATAAGTTACCCAGAAAATGAAAACATCGCACTAAAATTACGATGTCGTTTAAATAAAGTTTAAATTCCTTTCGGCTTTATTTTCTAGTGTTTTGTCATATTATCCTGTTTGACGCTGGTTATCTACGGTGACCGATTTTGTATTTAGTAGCATGTGCAAGAAATGGAACTCTATAGGATTTCTTATTTTTCAGTTTGAAAATTTAACGCATAAAGGTCACGAAATTTTCCAGCAAAACTTGCTCTTAGCTAAGCTGCAGGGACAAATCTGCTCATTTTATACAACGTAATTTCAAGTTTGCCTCACCAAAACATTTATGGCGGTCATAGTAGCCGGCCAGCACCGTGGTCACACCCAGAATAACCGTCATCAATCCCAGCAATATTACCTTGCAGAGCAGCATAACACAGTCGGCTAATTGTGATGATTACGAAGGCAACTAATCAGCAATTAAAACACTTGACGTCGCACCGCTCAGTCCCGTTCGCTGCCCGCAATAGGCAAAACAGACAAAGCAGGCGAAAAACCGTTTATACCACAGCAGTCGCTGATTTCGGCTGAATATCTTATATTTTGCACCCGCAGACGAAAATCATAAAGATTTAAAATAGCTGATTAAGTTCTGCCGCATGCATGTATAAGTTCCGACGCATGGCAGCAGGGGAGGGCAGCTTTCACGTATTAAAAGACGGCGGTAGAGTGTAAAAGCCGGACGGGAGTTTTGTTCGTAGAAATGATATCACCTTTATAAGAACACCTTCACTGAGAAATAATGGCGTCCATTAAATGATTATTCACACACAGCATTTTTGTTTGTCAGTCGTTGATCTTTGACGCAACGATTCCTAACTGAGACAGAAATTTTATCTAAAAAAAATCAAGATCAAATTACATTAAAGCGGTTGTATGAGTAATCGCCGACGTGGATACACCATCGATGCAAAATAATGCACAGCAACGCCAGCCGAACGCGGTATCCCACGGCGTGCCACGCGTTGTCTAGCGTAGAAAGTTAGAAACCTTTTGAGTTTTGAGTAATGAGTTTACTTCGCATTGCAAAGTGGATACACAGCAGACGATTTTCTGACAGCGACTACCGTTCTGATTAACCGCTAAGAATACCTTGCAATATTTGTAGCGGGATTTATAGTTTATTCGTCGCACTGTGGTTTTAGCGAGACAGTTGCACGACATATGCACGACAGTACGAGTACATGTAATGACTGGGATCTGTTACGATGTCATCTAAATCAGAAAAGTCCCCAGTTAGGCTCTTACTGCGAGTTTTTTTCTGGGACCGACAGAACTTATTTCACAAAATCAAGCTAATTAGCATTTATTCGAATTTCGAACTGACAGGAAGAGAATCGTAGTATAAAGGCTAGCTCTCCAATAAGCGTTTGCTATTTGAAACATAAGAAAGTTTAGTAACTCGTACAAACAAGAACAGTAAATCCAGTGACCACTTATGCTTTTTTTACAGCAATGATACTCCTGTTTGGCATTGATGATAAGTAGCGCGGAACACCGTACTTTCTTTTGTGGCGTGATTACCAAAATTTTGATTAAAGTATGACCGCAACATTTCTGTATTCAATGGGTCCTTCGTATTAATAATTAGCTGACGCCGCTGATAGTTCGTTTCTGGGAAAACTCATCCATCAACTCGAGAATAGCAGCCGTGATTCAAAATCCCATAACCATGCACCTTAGACACCACATCCAGTGCTGTTTGATTGGACTAGAGGGGCGCGTTTCACCAGCTCCTTGACCAGAACGGCATATGTGGCGAAGAATCCCGTCAGCTGCAAAACGAAGCCCATACCAGCACCGCTAACAGGTATATGACCTTTAGTAAACATAAGCCACTGATCAACCACCACGCACCGCTGCAATAAATCCGCGGTCAATGACGAAGAACCGTCCGCCGGTCAGCCGTGGTGGCGTCTGCCGCAAGGAGCGCAATAGATGCGTGTACTCGATAGTCACCAGGGAATGAGTGAGTCCCGCCTAATCCAGCGGTGTTAACAGCTTGTCCAACAGCTGCTCGGACTGCCAACCAAAAACAAGAGTTCTCACCAAACGCAAATTTTTCGTCCACGAGTCTTCTGACCAGTTTTCACAGCGCTTGCACAAAAATGGTTAACACATGAAATGGCACGCAGAAGTGTAAACATTCTTACCATTAGTACTTCGTACGGTTGCGATACGTTAATGTTATTTTGGAAAAATAGAGGGAGGCGATCACGCTGGAGCCGATGCATAGAACCAAAACCCACATACGTTAATTGTTAAATCACATTTTCAAAATTTTTTCAAAATAAAACCGTGGGAAAACGGATAGCAAGGACACTTACGCACGTAAGGAGGCCCGTGTAGGGAAGTACATGATCGGTTTTGAAACGCAAGAAGTTTTTTGCCCAGAGATTCGTGAACCGGTACATTTTGTGGGCCGAAAAATTCGTAAACTGAGTGGAGAAGCGCGTTCCCTAGCTGTCATTACGCAACGTTTTAATTTGGCTGTCATTAAGGGAAATGCTACTGCTGCGTTAAATGCTTTGTTTTTTAACCCGCGGTGGATAGCGATAATGACTGTTTTTTAAGTTTAAATTTTAACTTTGAAATAGTGTACCCCGCACTTGCATTTTTGTTACGAGTACTTTGATGGCAACTGCCTAATAGAGACATTATCGACACATTACGCTGTGCCTGCTTTCTGTTGAAATCGAAGCAATTGTAGTATAGCGGCATTTGGGTATCTCGCGCATTGCTTACACTGCTCGCATACGGTCTGTTCTTTAATACCATAACTGACCTTGGTTTAACAACTTTTTTTGCCATACCAATTATTACTTATAACTTATTGACCAACCTCATCCTGCAACTGGACCGTCAATACCACCGGTACCAGCATCGCCGTTACCACCAACACAATGACCAACGCCGGCACCAGCGCCGTCACGGACCCGTTCGCGTCCGGTGTGCGGAAGCTCTGCACGAATCCCAACACCGTTAAACTTCTGGCGGCGATATGCACCAACATGATCAAGGAAAACACACTCTCCACGGAAGTAATGTATTTGCGTATTTGCGTCGTCACTTTTACTCTAACGTCATCAGCAGTTTCATTTGCTGACAGACTGGGTATACGATGAATACCATCGAGGATCAACAAGCACATTATCGCGATAATTAAACTGGATAGTAACTGCGGGAAGCCCATGAACGGATACGTCACGCACTGCCACGCCCACAACGGCACGTCGTCCGCGCCGACGACACCGAAATATTCCGTGTCCATGGTCAGCGGTAGCGTGCCGAGGGCGTACTCATAGCCAACCAGAATCTGCGTGATAAAATGCAGAATAACGTACAATATCGGGAAGAGTTTGCTACGATGTTTCCAGAAAATAGTTTTGCATGTATTTTCACTGGACTGCGCCTGCAGAGCGCAGATTTTATGGAAAGATTTCTGCTTGAATGTGAAGATGGCTGAAATCAGGAGAGCGGCTTCGTACGCGAAGAGGAAACGAGAGTATTCGATAAAAGTCAGAATGCCCAGGGAAATTGTAGAGTGGACCATGATCAGTACGCTGAGCAGCAGAAACACGGCGACCACCAGCCAGTAGCAGCATTTGGTGGCTGTGATCACCGCCGAGTAGCTAAATTTCTGGCTGAGATGAGAGCGCTCCGCTGGAAAGAAGCAGCATCGAGAATGCACGTCCAAGAATAAGAAAGTTCGAAGAACGGCATATGCACCACCGTTGGCCGACATCGTCGACATTTGCAGCTTGTAGTTTACAGTGCAACTAATCTACGGAAAAAATAACAGATAATTAATTGTTATACATGTATTGCTGTGATGATGGATAAAGCGAGCCTGCTTGTCGATACTACGGCGGAGTGTTGTTATATCGTAGTGGATGAATAAATTTGCCGGCAGTGCACATCACGATTTCAAAGACTGGAATGGAAAAGACTGCATCACGATTGGAACGCTGATACTGCGGAAAATTTGGTATATTATGTAGCCTCCTTGTCTCGTTGATAAGGTTGTGCAGACTGCAGAGTGTAATGAAATTGACACAGTTGACGCACATCGAGCGGGATCCATTCTCTGGATTGCCCATTCTGCCGCCCTCCGGTAATTGCAGTCGTCGTTGGATGCTGACTGAGCATGTTCTCCTCGTATGTGTACCGTTCAGTAATAATTGTACGACGTCTATGTACAACATTTAAAGCGAACGAAAGAATGTACGGAATCGGCAAATGTATCCTTTGAAAAAAGGAACGGTTTACGCAGCCAGGCAGTGACCAAGCACCGGCCCACATAGTTATAATTATTTTTTTATACGCCCAACAAGGCTTTTGCGTTAAATTTGTTTATTTATTCGAATCATTGTTGGTCGCTCCTGTAATGACGATGTTTTGAATGACAATCTTAACAACAACAAAGTAAAATTTCAAAACCTCAAAACGCTCAAAACGCCCTCCCAAATGACCAAAGTAAAAGAGCAAGCGCAGTGCCCAAAAGTGTAGTCCAGTGGCATTTCTTTCTAGAGGTAGTGGTGGTTAATACCCTTCTTTCGAATGATGCTATACGTCATTTTCAATAATGCGCAAAAAAACACTAAATAACGTTGCACGCCGCGTAAATAATTTCAGACAAGCTTCTTTACGTATTTCAGTCGCAAAAGTTTTCGAGATGCGTGTTTGGATTCGTTTTTTTGAAACACTGCTGCAGCGTTGCCGTTGTTCATGGTAATACAGCGGCGATTTCTTTCACTTTGCCTACTCTAGTGGGGTACCACACGATAACTGTTAAACTAATATTAAAGCCAAACTGCCTGGTTTGTAGGCTTGTAGCAAGGAGAATTTCCGATTCACCGCTTTACAGCAACATTCTTCGGCCATCCGCAATATACCACAAATCTTTGCAACTAGCGAAACTCAATAATTTAATACGCAGTTGTGAGCGCTGACGAGTGCAGTAATGGTGCCGTTTTACATTTCGAAAAGTGATTATTAAAGATCACATTAATTTTGTAGAGCAAGGCTGTTCTACAGATCATTTCGTGTTATGTTGAAATTGACGATGGGAGCGTCCTTGAGGATCTCCTTGACCAGAACGGCATACGTGGCAAAAAATCCAATCATCTGCAAATAATTGAGAAGCTCTCTGAAGTGTGGGCACAGATACCACCCTTGACCCATCATACCGCAGCGATGAATCCCCGATCGATGATGAAGAATCGTCCGCCAGTTAACCGTGGCGGCGTTTGTCGCACCGAGCGCAGAAAGCTCCGCAGACTTTCGATTTCCGGTGATGCACTGTCGAATTCCATTAAACCATGCAGAGTGGCAGATGTAACTGAAGAATCGTCCAATGGCGACAAAAACTTTTCCAGCATTGATTCCCACTGTGAAATTCAAATTCGAATTTTCAGAAAATACTGCGCATGCAATAAAATTATTGAACATTCGAAAAATGTCTATGGTAGTGTGATGTCTGCACTCTGCAGCAATGCATTTGTTACAGATTGACAGTGCGCCTGTGTAATGAAATATCAAATACCATAGTTAACAGTGTAATGACTGTAATCTAATGGCATATTTGCATTTCATTTCAAAGGCCAACCTCATCAATCAAGTTGTAAAACAGTCTTAGGCATCGTTAATTTTTAAATTTTTAGACATCCTTAAAAACACTCGTACTTATATTTCCCAAGCGGTACAAACACCGAAAGACTATTTGCATACCTCATCTTGCATTTTAATCGTCAGGACGATCGGCACCAACATGGACGCGGCGAACAGCGCAATAATCAACACCGGTATTAACACCGTCGGCGAGCCGATCAGCTTCGGATTTCGAAAACTCTGCACAAAGCCCAACACCGTCAAACTGCAAGCGGCGATATGCATTAGCAGAATCAACGAGAACGCTTCCTCTAGCGCCTGAATATACTTTCTGACGCTCGTGACTTTTGCTCGAATTCCTTCGACACTACCATCCGTCAATTCGTAGTGAATCAGACTAATTCCTTCGCAGATTCGACGGCAGAGAATGGCCATGACCAATAACGACAACATCTGCGGAAAACCCATCAACGGATACACTACACACTGCCACGCCCACAATGGTAAATGCACTCCGCCCATGATCTCCAAATAGTTGACACCTGCGTCCCAAGATAGCGTGGTCAGTGCATATTCGTACATAATCAAGAGTTGTGTCCCAATATGAATAACTGCATAAAACAAGGGGAATAGCAAATCGCCGCATTTGTTTCGCCGTTTCTCTTGCTGCTCGCATTCCGCCCTCGATGATCGACGAGCGCAGTAACAGTTGGCATGAAAGGCGGTCTGCTTGTACTGAAAAGCAATGATAATCAGCACTGCCCCTTCATAGCTGAACACGTAGCGTGAGTATTCGATAAAGGTCAGAATTCCCAGGGCAATTGTGGAGTGGACCAGAATTAAGGCGCTCAGCAGCAGGAACAGCGACACCACCAGCCAGTAACATGCTTTAACTACGAGGATCAGCGTGGAGCGGATGCGCCTACGATATTGCGATGGGGATTTTCCTTGCTGGCAAAAGTGCTGATTGTTGAGAAACAAGAATGCGCTAAGAACCGCGTATGCACAGCCGTGTGGCCTTCTGTGTTGGGGCATTATTCGGCAAACCATTGCAACGATGGAGAAAAACTGTTCGCTCTTCCGGTGGATCAAATATGAAGTTTGTTATACAGATTCAGCCAAACTAACTAAAACGCCAGCTTGGATGTGCTTACAGTAATCAGCACTCCACTTATACGATGGCGTCCAGATGTGGTTGGCATCACGTGAAACAGCAAAATGCGATGCAACTGTTATGAAACTGCCGGTCTGCAGGGTATAATTTGTCGGCTCTCAAGTTATGACACTACAAAGATATATAGTTAACTTCGTGGTAAACCGTATTACGCTTCAAGCCGCGTAAAATAAACAAACCCTTGCACCGACGTAATGATCCCGGCGCGTATTGGAGAAATTTATCTTCCTTCTCCCACGTGTTTGTACATTACATGGAAATTGTATTAAAATGAAGGCTAGAGCTTGCTTTGCGTGAAATTAATGGGATCTGAAGGAAAATGCCGGACTCGTTCATGCCGAGTACAGTCTGTACTTTGTTATGTCGCAAGCAACGATATGTAGAATGTTCTCCACAATTGTTATGCAAAATCAGATATATAATATACCTACTTGTTTATCTCCAGTGCCGGTAAAAATTAGTGCGAATGCAGCATATCGAGTGCACCCTGCCCGTTTTAATTTTCTAATTAAAATCGAGCTCCCTCTGGCGGTAGCGGTGTTGATGGCAGGTAGTCAAGCAGCTGCAGCTTTGATTGCACAGGGCACCGTCGTGAAATTTATTCACTCTTATGGCTCGCATTCTAACGAGGTCTCCTAGTTTAATTACTGTTTTCTTCATGTAGTTTGATTACGCATCTTTTTTTCATCTACTTCGTTTCATTTTAATTTTAATTTAATATTCTGTGGAATTTTGTGATAGCAATTATAGCATTCACTAGTCATGCCTAATTACGTATAATGTCCTCCCTTTTCGACTGTATATACAAAGGAGCAACAATTTTCGGCCGCAATATACCGCAAATCTTTGCAACCCGAACCAAAATCATAACGCAGCGCTGCGCAGCGCAAACATGAGCGCAGTATACTGCGTTTAGAAAATTCAGAAACACAATATGAACGCTCACTTTTGCACACAGTGCTGATTTACAAATCAGTCCGTGTTGTGTTGTAACTGACGATGGGCGCGCCCTTGAGGATTTCTTTGACCAGAACGGCATACGTGGCAAAAAATCCAATCATCTACAAAATATGGAGAATTCCCTTTAGTAGTATGTGCACTACCCATAACAACAGTGCCCATCATACCGCAGCGATAAATCCCCGGTCGATGATGAAGAACCGTCCGCCAGTTAACCGTGGCGGCATTTGTCGCACCGAGCGTAGAAAATTCCGTAGACTCTCAATTTCAGCCAGATCCGGCGATGAAATTTCCCTTTCCACCAAACCATACACTGTTGGTGAATTTGGAGAATCGTCCAATTGCGAAAGAAACTTTTCCAATGCCAGTTCCAACTGTAAAAATTTATACTTAAAGTTTCAAAAAAAAGCTATAAGCGTCAATTTGGTTAGACAACCAAATTCCCATCGCTTTTTAGCGTGTGCCAGCACAAACGACACAATTTTTCTTACTGAAAAAATCTCAAATACACAGGCAAAGGTGTAGTCTAACGGCATATCCGTAAGATGCTTTGATTCTTAACTTAAACTGGTAGCCAATTTAAAAATTTGCAAATGAACCTGAACACATCCTGTTTCTTTTTTACCTTACATTTACTGTAATATTGAACAATAATTGTAGATTTCACAAGCGCCGACAGCGTACCTCGTCCTGAAGTTTAATGGTCAAGACGATCGGCACCAACATGGACGCGGCAAGCAACGCAATAATCGACACCGGTATCAGCACCGTCGCCGAGCCGGTCAGCTTTGGATTTCGAAAGCTCTGGACAAAGCCCAACACCGTCAAACTGCACGCGGCAATATGCATTAGTAGAATCAACGAAAACGCTTCTTCCAGCGCCTGAATATACTTCCTGACGCTCGTGACTTTTGCTCGAATTTCTTCCACACTACTCTCCGTCAATTCGCAGCGAATCAGCCGAATTCCTTCACAGATGCGCCGGCAGAGAATAGCCACGACCAGTAACGACAACATCTGCGGAAAACCCATCAACGGATACACCACACACTGCCACGCCCACAATGGCAGCCACACCCCGCCCATCATCTCGAAATAGTTGACATCCATGTCCATCTGTAGCGTCGTAAATGTGTATTCGTACATGATCAGGACGAGGGTCCCAATATGCACCAGCGCATAAAACAACGAGAATAATAAATCACCGCATTTGTTTTCAGGACACTCGGCTGCCGCCTTTGGTGGTCTGCGAGCGCAGATGGCATGGAAGGCAGACTGCTTGTACTGAAAAGCAATGAGCATCAACACTGCCGCTTCATAGCCGAAAACGTAGCGTGAGTATTCGATAAAGGTCAGAATTCCCAGGGCAATCGTGGAATGCACCAGGATCAGGGCGCTTAACAGGAGGAAAAAGGAGACAACGCACCAGTAGAATGCTTTGATCAGGACAATCACCTTGGAGCGGATGCGGTGGCGGCATTGTGGGAATGGTGTCGGCAGTTGGCAATCGTGCTGGCCGTTCAGGAGTAAGAAGACACCAAGGACCGCGTATGCACAACCATGTGTGCATGGCTTAGGCGTTCTCATACAGGTCATTTTATAATCCATGAAAAATGGGAATAAAATCAGTTCATACTGATAGTATCCTTAGTATGCAATATAATTACACCATATACCGTTTTTAACGTTGGCGATTAGCGCGTGTTTTTGCCGCGTTAATTCAGCGGTACCTGGAAAACCATGGCCTCCAGATGTGGTTAACCAAGATATACTGCCGAATGCCGATACAGTGATATAAGCTGTCGGAAAGAAGATCCCACCATGCAATATGCATGTGCCTCAGCCTTTCCACTTTCCAGTTTATAGTAGAAATCGTGCACTGTCTACGCGCTGACTACTCGATAATTCGCCGACTCTCCACTTATGACAGGGCTATTCTCTGTTTCTTGAATGGCGTTGACAGAGTGGTACTCATAGCGCGCAGAATCAACAAACAAACCCACGTAATGGTCCCGGCGAGCAATAAGGGAATTGTTACTTAATTTCCCCGTTGAATCATCTATTTTGTAAATACAGCAGAGCATGGAATTGATGAGTATACTTCCATCAGTTCCATGGAGTTTGCCGTTCTCTCACAACAGCTGGAAATTAGTGCGTATCAGATGGAACTGCACGACCCTTTGTAACCTAGAGCATCACAGGAAAGCTGTATTGCAAGTTCGTATTCACAGGTCAATGCAAAAGGGCATGTCAACAATTATCATAGATAACGGTACCATAGTATCATAGTGTCCTTCTGGCCAGGCATATATAGAGTTCATCGCTGCATGCGTAGTCTTCATTCCTGTTTTGCCAACTGGCACGTGCTAGCAATTTTCTGTTTACCACCCGCTACACCCGACTTGTCACTTTGTGTTGTTATTTGCCTAAAGTCAAATAAAAGGGGTTTCAGGTGCAGGGGAAGGAAACCGGCTGCCTCATCTCATCGTTTTTTATCAGGCTTATTAATTTTGCGAATTACTGTTTGCCATACATGCAGTTGTTTCCCACATCGCCCTTCCGCCGGCAATGGCCCAGCATTCATGTTCAACGGAAAGAAGATTCACAGTATTGTCGCAATGGCACAATCATCACAGTCCTTCTCCAGGAAACGAATTATTGTTATAGCTGCACAAAGGAAGACACTCCAGGGAAACACATTACGGTGCGCAGGTTGACAATGCCCGAGCCGTACGATCTAGCCACGGGTGCGTTCACTATCGCGCTAGAGAACTTTACGAACGCCCATACGGTCCGTATGTGTGTCTGCCCTCCACCGGGGCCGGTTGGCGGTGAGTGGGTCAGCGCGACCCTCTTCCGCCACGAGGTCCTCTCCGCCCATGAAGAACCTTACCGTTCGCTACGGCGACCCAGCGGAGGTGGCATGTCCGGTGCGCTTCGACTTCCTTCCCGGAGAACTGACCACCCGTTTTCTGTGGCGCAAGGGAAGATAGCTGCTGATGGTTGTATCTATCCCGGAAATGGCCGGTAAGGCCAAATCCTGGCTGGGCTTTAAGGGCACTTTGAGTTCGGCTTGCGTTCACCGTCTGTGTGCAACTCCACTATCAACAGCGTCACATGGGAAGTTGGGAACACACCGGTCCGTACGCATGCTGGTTCCTCATTAACGACCGCCTCGACGACTGGATCGTTCAGGAAGCCCATCTGTACGTCATTTAAGCGGAACGACCATTTAGCTGGCGACCTCGACAATTTGTTTTCGCAAAGTGCGATAGCCCGTACCGCGTCTGGTTGTTGCAGTTATTATTACGTTACAATCTCCGCGGCAACAGTCGAAAATGTGTTTGTGTCGAAAGCGTAAAAAATTGATGTAGTACCTCGCTGCGCGCGGTGGAAGTAACTGTCACTACTATGTCACATGGCACTGACAGTTTCTTCGGTATACAGAGTACATATTGTACCAACAGCAATAAAGTGACAATAACTGAAACGCTTTCCCATAACTTCCATTCAGGGAAAAATCCTCCAGTCCATTCTCTAGTCTATAATGGTATAATTCATTCTGTTTTAATGGCGACGTGCAGCGTATAACGCAAAAGCAACGTGATCTCGAATATCGAAAATCATTACTTACACGAAAATCAGAAGTTGAGGAAATACGTACAGTGGAGTAGCAGACTAATAGGTGGCACAACTGCTCGCGCTTGAAACCACGAGCATATGCGGAAAGAAATTCGTGAAAGAGCTGCCGAAAGATCTCAGCGATTGCAATGGTAATCAGGAGAGGTTTTCCGCCAGAAAATCAATATCAAGTTTTTAAACGGCAAATGCTGTCTCTGTCCGAGGAACGTTTAATAATATGGTTGACAACGAGGATGTGTTTTTGCTTTTAAGCTAGCTAAGCGGGAATAATAATTTTTTTAATTTTAAAATTTTATCAGTGATACAAAAATTTAACTGACCAGAGAAAAAAGGTTATTTGAAATGTCCAAAAGCGTAGCTCAGTGGCACAGTACGATTCTTTCATTTCACATGCCACACCTGCAGAATATTAAAGTTTTCCCTTTAAGATATATTTTTTTTAAAATTTTTGCGCGAAATCTGCCGTTGAAATGAATGAAAACAAACGAGGCAGCGAATTCAGAGGGCTAAAGTGACCGTAATTTTGTGCCCGCTTCACTTTATGTGAATCGCTGCTGCATTGAAAGCGACTGCATGTGAGCCTTGTCTTATGCGGAAGTGGAATTTTCTCATTTCATTCCAATGTTCAAATAGTTTAAGTTAACAGTTCATCACAAAATAGATAAATGGTGCAAAAATTTGGTTTCGAGTAGCATTGAACTTGATTATTATGTGAATTTACAGGCACAATTTTTCAGTTTAATCGACAGAAACTACATTAATTTACGTACTAGTAGATGCCATTGACAAACGTTGTCGAAATTCTGAATACTTAATGCTGCATCCAGAAGATTGGCATGCTCATTCATTCTCCGCTTTTGCTATTGACCATTACCGCCAACAAACAGTGCGTAAGAAAAGAGAAATTAAGTAATCAACCGAGGAAACATCGCTTAAGGCAGGCATACCGGTACCCGCTTCCTGCCGCTCAAACCGGTACATTCTCCGAAATGAGTCTCGCAGCAGGTGCTGGTAGCGGTGGATGGCGAAACGCTTTTTTCAATTTAAGCTTGCACAGACAATAATTTTCTTTTCATTTTCCTTAGACAGTTTTCCCTATGCTGATTGGAACTTTTAAAATTACATAGGAGAAGATTCCACAATGCTGCTGTTTCGTGCTGCTCGGTTTCTCGTGACTGCCGGCAGTATAGCAGCACATACTGCCGGCAAGCAGCATTTACCAACGCCTGTCTGCGCATCTGATCTTTGTCAGGAAGTTGGTACGTTTCGCGGCAAATACGAAGATAGCTTACCACCAAAAATTAATTTGATTTACGGAGATCAATACTTTGCCAGCGCTCAGCTTGATGCTCAGAACAAGCCTATCTTCGATTGTCCCTAAAATAAGGATGGGTGGTTGAATCGATTGTACAAAGTGTTGTGATTTATATAGCCAGTGACATCGTCGCCAACATGGACGAAACCGTGGATCCTTGCGTGGATTTCTACGCTCACGCCTTTGGCCGTTGGAACCCAACGTATGGGTATGATTATGGTCAATACGGCGTCCTCATGGCCAAGATCTCCGTTCAGCTACAAGGTAGTTGAGAAACTGCCTGACCGGCAACTGGGCATAAACAGGGCATTCCTTAGAATTCCATGCCTAGATTTCTTTTCCGTCCCACGGTTTGTCCCTGGCATACTGTTGTCTGTGGGGAACAGTTTTTGGAAAGAATCTGTAGATAATCGCTCACCATAATTAACTGGGAAAATGAGAATAGGGCATGAGCAAACTGGAGCAAAGCTTTTCGGTTTCGGAAATGCCTGCAGCTGCTACGAAACACTTTTTTTGGTTGCCAGCTTCCAATCGTCTTTGTTTTTGTTTCTATGCTTTCTTTGGGATTCCTAGATAACCGGTCACTTCCAGTATACATACAGATACATTATAAATAGCTGGTCGTGGGTCCCCATGTGGTTGGGAACGCAATTAACTGCAACTTCCAGTCGACTTAATGCTTAAAATAGAAGTCGAATTCCATTAAATTTCATATTTCACAAGTGCAGAAGACTAACCAGACCACAATGGGTGGGGCTTATTTCCAGTAAATTAAATTTTTTAAAAAAAATGCTTCCCAAGTTTGCCAAAACTGTCTCCGCTCGAACTAAAAAATTAAAAGATACTCACTAAAGTAGGTTTGCAGCTGTTTAAGGAAGTTGCTCATGGTGCAGTTAAGCATTGCTATGAGCTGGGATAACGTAATAAACTTTATGTATTTTATCTACAAAACGAAGTCATTCCTCGCATCGTTTGGATTAATTCTGAAGTCGAACTTTTAAAAAACAGCATCGAAATGCTTCAAGGGTTCTGCGTATTCTTCTTGCACCGTAAACAACGATCGTTGAGTTGAACAGTCACCACAAATTTCAAATACTTGTTGCGCAGTATGACATTATCGCGATGACGTTGCTGTTCTTTTAGCTTTATTTAACAGTGGAAATTACACAAATCCTACTGAGAAGAAAGTCATTGATATCTACAACCAGTGCATTGACCAAAAACCAGGTAAACCGAACTAATCCCGTATTATTTAGTCTGTTTAATGTACCAGAAAAATCTCGAAGTTTCCAGCATTTCAAACACTTTCGCAAAATAATTTTTATAAACGATGCGCGCAACTGCATTATACCTTGGTCCTGAACCTTTTGGTGCTTTGCTGTATAAAAGGGATTAGGGATAGAAGCTAGTTGGTGCATTTCCAAAAATTTTGATTCAAATCAGATTTTACTGTGCAGTTTGTTCACCGTTGTTCTGAGCCATTTGTCCCAGAGAAAGTTACTCCATCTAAAACCGCTTAGCTAATTAACAGATCAGGATTCCGATGACCGAATAGTTTTTGGGCACTGTCCACAAACTGCTGGACGGATGGTCGCTCTTTAACACTCAGCGAAAGGTGTCGTCGTTTCATTTGGACGAAACTCTGATCCGTCTACAACAGAATGCCATCCAGACCGTCGGCGATCTGCACGTGGACGAAAACATGTTATCGAGCGACGAGAACATTCTGTACTTCAGGGTGCCTGACGGCAAGGACAGTTGGCCGCACAGTGGGGAAGTAATGCGCTGGATAACTCCCATCGCAACAGCACGATACTCACAGCGTTCACCCAATTGATGACATCGTGGAGGCCGATCGTGCAGCGCTTACTTCATGCTGCCAATACGACTGTCCAATGGTCCATTGTGGAAAGCCGGATGAAAAAAGCTATTATGCTGAATGTTGTCCTGGCGGCGGTACGTGCGCACTGATTTTTCTCTCTAACAAATTCATATTTTAATTTTGTTATTTTAAACCTTACGGAATAATATTATTGCTTTTAAAAACTGTTATTAAAATTATTACCCTTTTTTCTAATAGTCTCAACCTTACTATCGGATTTTTGTTAGTTAAACAAGATTACAAGGTCTTTAATAATTTTTAGGGGGCAAAAGGAGTTATCGACACCAGAAAGCGTATAACATCGGTGACCTTTCCCGAGCTCCGTATCGCTCGCGGTTTCTCTCTAATTATCTGCAACTTTTCAACGCCATGCTGCGAGCTTCTTTAGTGGATTTCCAAGCCACAGCGGCCACGAAGTTTGGCGCCACAACGATAACTTATCTCCGTAATCTGGACAAAACGATGACGCAGCTGGAGTCGAACGGAGACGCCGAACGGGCAACCCTAGCGGACTGGCTCTGGTGGGTGGCCGTCGACCATTACCTCAATCGAAGGACGGACGACTGCGTGAACCTGGTAAGCGACGCCATGCCGTTGACCGTCTCGGGAATGTTCTTCAAGACGTACATATCGAGCAGAACCGTACAACAGGTCAGCACAGTCATTACAGACGTTGTTTTTCTACAAAACGAACTTCATGAAGGAGTGGTATGGTGCACGCTTTGGTATCAAAGAACCACAAGGCACAAGAACTTACTAGTAAAAGATTGATTAACGGTTGTGTGCATGAAACAGGCCAAAGTGCTGACCTCCGACGTTGCCAACGGGGTTCGCGACGCGGTCCTTCTTAAAGCGGCCTGGATGGACCGGGCAACCCAGGAAGCGGCGGTAGACAAGCTCAACCATACACTGCGGATGGTGGGTTATCCAGAAGAGTTCGTGCGAAACTCGACTCTTCTCGACAAACTTTATGAAAAGGTACGCAAACTTTGGGCCTAAGTTGTTGGTATAAGAACGGCGTTTACCGTTAATAGAAGCTCCACCCATGCCGTGTTTCTCCTTTAATCCACATAAAAATATTTTTTCACAACTGCACAGATAAAAATAGTAAGTAATTCTTGCCAACGTTATTCCCTATCTAACTAGACAAGCGAAGATTACAGATAAGACCACCAGTATTAAGTCATGTACATCTGGCGAAGTTAGAGACTTCTGCAGATTCAAGTGAAACCAGCATTCTCCGACACACTGCACACCATCGATCAGAGCAAAAGTTGGATCAACCTGCAAAAACTTTCGCTGACTAACACTCGCGACAATCCCTTCGATCCGACCGACCTGACCAGCGCCAACGCCGCGATGGAAGCGGACCGTAACTACAAAGGTATGCAAAGGCCAAACAATTTTTTTATACCTCGAACTTCTTGGCAAAATCGTGAAGAAGCTCCGGTCAAGCAGTTTTCCTTAAGTAGTCCGTACAAACTATTGTCCTACGACCATACAGATGGAGACTGTACTTGCTGACAAAGTTTTTTTCCCAGTAAAGATGATAAACGTACAGTATACCCTTGAAGTACCAGCGTCAGCGGCACAAGCCGATGAGAAGAAATCGAGACTTTACTCCAACCAGATCGGCCGCTATATTTTCGCACTAAGTAATTGCCTTTGAAATGACGGGACCATGGGGACCCCCTGCTATGGCCATCGTCAAGGATTTAGGCAAGGGACTGCAGCAACATACCGGGGCATCTCACTCGACGAATTTCTGCGACAACGATTGTCGCTAGAAATCCAAAGAGGGGACGCGACATTTGTACTCGGGACCATGGGCGATGCGGATAAATTAAACGAGATCTCTTTAATACTTTACTATGTTCCGATATCTTGTGCCTTGTGTTCGATTTGACCAATAAAAGTTTTAGTAAGTACTAAATTATGTACATCTGGCGAGATTGGGACTTTTACAGATTCAAGTGAAACCAGCATTTTTCGACACACTGCGCAGCATCGATCAAAGCAACAGTTGGATCAACCTGCAAAAACTCTCGCTGACCAACGCCCGTGACAATCCTTTCGATCCAACTGACCTGACCCAAACCAACGCCGAGCTGGAAGCGGACCGTAATTACATGGGTACTTCTTCATGCCACTGCTAGCAACCGCTAAAGAATTGGTTGAATTAATGAAGCATGGGTCGGTTTTGCAGTTATTCGGGCTGCCCTCTTGCAGCCACCATTCTTCTACACGGGCAACCTGGACATTATCAGTTACGCTCGCTTAGGATTTGCCGTTGGCCACGAATTCACCCATGGCTTCGATATCGGAGGCGAGAACGGTTTTAAACTGAAAACATTTTCTCCAAATACGTAATTAACGATGCCGTATTAGGAAAGGATTTTGGAAAAGACGGTAAACCGTTTAACTGGTGGACAAATACGACGCAAAGAAACTGCAACGCAAGAAGGTAAGCCTTAGTGGATTTCTACAACAACATCAGTACGCCAGACAGCAGTGTGGACGGCCGGCAAACTCTCAACGAGAACATTGCCGACAATGGCGGATATCGCGCCGCGTATTTGGTTGGTATCTGTCTTTCATGTCATTATACTGTATTCTGCATACACAGTCTGCAACGAATGAGCTTTTCGCAGGCGTTCCATAATTTTATGCGCCGCACGGGATACCGCATCCGATTGGAAGATCAGCTGTTCTGGTTGACACGAACGAACGAAGCCACGAAGCCACGAACGAAGATCAGCTGTTCTGGTTGACAGCAGCTCAGGTGACCTTTGTAGATGTTAAAAAAGAACGCAGTTACCCAAATTTCTTTTTAGACATCCTGCGAGCGTGTTGCTAAAGTTTTGGACAACGTGCACCCACCGCTCCGATTCCGTGTGAGGGGGCCGTTCATGAATAACGCGGATTTCGGCAAAGCTTACAACTGTCCGCTCGGATCACCGATGAACCCACGGGATAAAGCGTGGTGAAGAACTTGTGCCTGTCCCACGTGAATAATTAGCGTCGCTACGCTATCAACAATGACGAAATCTAATACTTGTTCTGATAAATTGTCGAATACCTAAAAAATATAAAATAAACAACGCTTGGGAAGTTCCTGCGGAATGAATTAGAAAAAATGAATTCAAAAGTAAAAAAAGCAGATAAATTGTTACTTCGCTTTGTCTCGTATTCCTGTCACTTTCAGTGTATCGTTTCATATTTCGGTCACCGGTCAGTGGTAGGACCGCACATGTGGCGCACTACCTGAATCGCACAGTTGCCTTTAGCCTCCGGTCGGTATGCAGTTCGCCCAACCCTCACACGTTTCAGGCCCAATAATTTCATTTGCGGAAATTTTGAAGACGTAAAATACCGGGTTTCTGCATCTCACCCGGTTCAGAGTGTTGGTTATTTGTTTGGATTCATGAAAAATTACTTATGTTTATGTTCAGATTTAATGGAGAAAGTCGTTTGTACGAAAACTAATCATTTTTGTGAATTTTGTTTTGTAAGGAAATTTAACTACCAGGTGACCGAAATACGAAACCGTATAATTTTTAAGTGACCAAGACAAAGCGAAGTAGTGAAGGCGTCGTGCAGAGACTTTTATCGACCCCATAATTATATCGTATGGTTATTACCGTAAACCTCAGGAACCTGCTTACTCACAAAAAAGATCACTTTGTTTAACTGCTGCATCTATGTGCTTGTTTATAACACTTTACGAAGAAAACCAGCAACTACCGGCAGGGCGATTTTGTGGTACCAAGCGACGGAAGTCATCAAGATTAAGCCATCCTCTTTGGCCTCACACTATGGTGAATGGCGTTTAGGCTAACCCTTATCGGCTACCCCTGGTTACTCGTTATGTATTCGGCATTGTAGCATTTACATTAACTGGAGGCGCATCATCCAGCGACTCCTTGACCAACATGGCGTAGGTCACAAAAATCCGGCCATCTGCAACAAACATGTAACACAATAATGACGTACTGTTGTACAGGGAGGTGTTCAGTCAAATTGGTAGCGGATTCGGTGATCAAAAAATGCTGACAAACAAGAGACTGAAAAGGCTGGCTGAATGATTGGTTTGGCAGTCAACCGTGGGCGGTTAATGTTCCTCGGTGCTCTTGTTGCAGTGCAATTCGGCCGTAAGGAACGGGAAGGCGCCCAGAACACAGTAGGCACAACCATGGTTATCTTGGCGTAACAGTACAGTAACTTGAAAAGAAATACTGATCTTTAATATTTGAAAATAATTCTCGAGTCCCTTAAGGTTCCATGGCGATGTGCAGCGTACACCTCACAAACTGAAAACTTTTATTTGGGAATGCCTGAAACTTTCCGGACTACACTTTCCGGCCGAAATTGTAGTGCAATGACGCAGTGCATTCTTCGAATAATGCCGCTCGCATGCCACACCATTAAAACTGTTACGATTTTCCCATTTTTTTCTCCCAAAGTTGCCGGTGAAATAGTTAGAAAATAAACTTGGAGCGGATTCAGAAAGGCCAGCAGACCATAAATTAAGTGTTGTACTTCGTGTGATCGCAGTTGCATTGCAAACATGAGCGCATTGCACATGTACATAAACACTGATGCGACACCGGAATTTTCACACTTCTTTCAAATGTTCAAATACAAAGTAATTTCAACTTTCGATTCACAGAAACGTTTAAAACATGTTGCAGGACTTCGGGTCCGTGTGGCATAAGATTTCCGTGTATAATTTCTTCGCTAACACGAGCCATTTCATCATTATTCTGTCATTCTGGAGCAGGGATTAAAATAGTAGAAATTTAATAATACACACTTCCCTCTCGATCCAGTGGCCCAGCATTCTTGTTAAGCAGCTACGTAGCATTATATATGTAACCTTATAATCCGATATGTAATCTTATAATATAAGCAAACTTATAATTACGATTCATGGAAAAAATTCGCGCTACGCGCGAAACTATCTGTATTTTCCGAAAATAACGCTTTTGATATTGTTTTCCTGCGGTTTCGGAGTTTGGCTCAGAGAGCGATAAAAAGCAGCGAGTAATTTAGACCGATTGTATTGCAGTTACCGCTAAATAAATACACAGTTCCATGCAGGTTCACGTAAAACGAATCGGTTATTGCTGTTTCTCGTACTTTACAGAAAAATCTGAGGGATGTTCGAATTTCCAGTAGGAAAGCCATGAAATTTTATCAGTCAGAGGTTTTTTTGGGGCGTCTTCAATGCACGAATGACCACCGTGACACAGTGTTGCATAGAATGATATCAGTTTCGCGCGAAGCGCGAAGCCGACCGCAGATATTGCCTTAAAAAATTAAGAAATTCCATTAAAAATACAGACTTAATTGGAATTTTTAATTCGGCAGACCCCCTCTAACGTTTTCTCAACGGATTTCAACTTTTTTAATGTTGCACATTTGGCCTTTAAAAATACACAAAACATATTTAATAACACACAAGCTGTGTAATAACACACACTATTTTAGCCTATGTTCTTGAGGCTTGCATTGGCCGTTACCGCCAGGAAGAACGTACCGGCAAAGAACAATCAAGTAATCAAAGCGATAAATATCGCTTCGGGCTGACTTACTGCTTTCTGTCTTGCAAACCGTTACATTCTCCGAAATCAGTCTCGCAGCACGTGCTGGTTGCGGCAGATGGCGGTTCGATTGTTTCATTTAAAACCGGTACTGACATTAATTTTCTATTTAGTTTCTTGAGACAATTTCTTTATGCTGTTGCGGGACTTCTATAATTACACTGTACACAGGAAGAATTTCCGCAAATGCTGCTGTTGGATGCGGTCGGATTTATGGCTATTGCTGCTGGCATAGCACAAGCTACCGGCAAGCAGCATTTACCAACTCCTGTTTGTACGTCTGATCTTTGCCAACGAGTTGGTATGTTACCAAAAGTAGAAAGCTTGATACCAAAAATTGGCGATTTATGGAGATCGGTACTCACCATAAATTCTCTGGTTTCCACGCTCGGAATAAGTGCACAGTTGGCTGCTGTCCGTACGATGCGAGCAGGTTGCTGAGCCGATGTAACTGTATTTCTTAGCCAATGACATCGTCTCCAACATGGATGAAACCGTCGATCCTTGTGTGGATTTCTACACTCACGCCTGTGGCCGCTGGAATGTCAGCGGTCCGGATGACTATGGTCAGTACGGTATCGTCAGGGCCAAGATTGCCGCTCAGCTTCAAGGTACGCATTAAAGCGTGTGCTCAGGCGGATCTACTGGGCATTCCATACCAAAACTTCATTGCTTTCCGCCGGTTTTCTTTCCGCACATTATTATTGCGGTTTTCTTAGAAACATCTACAGTAACTAGCCGATCAACAAAATTGATGGAACTCAAACATATAAAATACCGAAATGCGGCACGTAGTTCGTGTACTGCAGCAGCATGGATCGTAAACACTGCTCACTGAATGGAACAATTTACGAACTGGAATATGGAACTCGTATGTATATGCCGTAACATACTTGTACATACCATTACTGCGTCGACGTTATGGATCTTTTTCAGAGTTATTTGAAAGTAGTAATTATACCAATCCCACTGAAGAGAAGGCCATAAATATCTACAACCAATGCATCCATCAAGAACATGGTAAAAGTATGTGAATGAATCACGTATTAGTTGCGTATATAATTCAATAAGCTGGCAAAAACTTCGAGGTTTTAAGCGATTCAAACGTTTAGTTTTTAGCAATATCGCTAAATGATTTGGTATAGGATGCACGCGACAGAGTTATCAGCCTTGGTGCTTTGATGTTTCAACAACGGCAGAGATAAATGTTTAATAGTTGACACTAGCGCCTTCCCGAAATTTTATTCAAATTTAATTTTTCTGTACTTACTACTTTTTATTGTTATTTTGTGCAGTTTGTTCTGGAAAAATGTATTTTATACTTGAAATAGTTTGCAGTGTTTTGTTTGCCAAATAGATCAAGAATCCAAAGACCGAATTATTTTGGGCACGGTCGACGACCTGTTAGACGGATGGTCGCCCATGAACCCCCATCGAAATGTGTCCGTGTTTCCTTTGGATGAAACTCTAATCCGTCTACAGCAAAATGACGTTGATACCGTCGGCGATCTGCACGTGGACGAAAACACGTTGTCTAGCGACGAGAACATTCTTTACTTCAGGGTGCCTTTCCGTCTCCTTGAGCGCGCCGCACAGTGGGGAACTAGTGCGCTAGACAATACCCAGCTCAGTGAGTTGGAAAATCCGGTAGGCTCCTGGAGGACGATAGTGCAGCGTTTACTTCGTGCTGCCAATACGAGTGTCCCATGGTCCACTGTGGAAAACCGGATGAAGAAAGTTATTCAGTTGGATACGGTCCTGGCGGAGGTGAACGCTCACTTCTATCGCTAAAAACATTTTTTTGAAGTTTTTCGAAAGTTTTCGGATCCGAATTTTCAGAAGTTTTGTACTACAGATTGAAATTATCTATTTCTAAAAGTGTTTATTATTCATTTATAATCATTTACGGTATTATCAGTATCAGTAAATTTTTATTTCTTAAAGTAGATACCGTTTTTCTTCGATAGCTAAAAAGCTGTATTACGATTTCTTTGTCATTTTATGATTGATTATCAGGGTTACACAGGAGATTACGATACCGGGAAGCGTATAACATTCGGCGACCTTTCCCGAGCTCCGTATCGTTCGCGGTTTCTCACCAATTTTCTGTCACTTTTTAACGCCCTGCTCCGAGCATCTTCGGTAAAGTTCCAAGCCACAGCGACCACGAAGTTTGGCGCCATAACAACATCGTATCTCCTTAATCTGGACAAGACGATGACGCAGCTGGAATCGAACGGAGACGCCGGGCGGGCGACCCTGGCGGACTGGCTGTGGTGGAATGCCGTCGACCATTACCTCAATCGAAGGACGAACAACTGCGTCTGGCTGGTAAAGGGAGCCATGCCGCTAACCGTCTCCGGAATGTTTTTTAAGACGTACATACCAGACCAAGCCTTGCAAAAGGTCAGCGTAAAAGTTATTAACAAAGCCAACTTCCTGAAGAAATGTGCGTCGTGTGCGCTTTGGTATCAACACAAATCCACATAAAAAAGCGTATTGGTTTAATTACCGACGATTTATTCATTGCTTGCAACAGGCAAAAGCGCTGACATCCGACATTTCCAACGGGGTTCGCGACGCGGTCCTGCTGAAAGCGGCCTGGATGGACCAGGCCACCCAGGAAGCCGCGGTGGACAAGCTGAACCATACATTGCGGATGGTCGGTTATCCAGAAGAGTTCGTACGAAATTCGACTCTCCTCGATGAGCTTTATGCAAAGGTACACAATCTCCGGGCCGAAGTTGTTGGCATCAGAGCAGCGTATACCGTGACGGATTCGTAATAGAAGCTCCGCCCATGCGGTATTTCTCCATTGGTCCACAAAATAACTTTTCACAAAAATAGCAATTCCTGCCAACGTTATGCACTATCATAACGTTGGCAGAAGTATGTGCGTCTGGCGATGTTAAGACTTTTGCAGATTCAAGTGAAACCATCATTCTCCGACACATTGAGCACCATCGATCAGAGCAAGAGTTGGATCAACCTGCAAAAACTCTCGCTGATCAATGCCCGCGACAATCCGTTCGATCCGACCGACCTGACCAGCGCCAACGCCGCGATGGAAGCGGACCGTAATTACATTGGTACTCTGTCATGCTAAACCTGACAATCGCTGACAAAATATGATAGATTTATTGGGTTATTCACCATAACGTAGGTTAAACGCAAAATTACGCAGTTCATCATTTCAACACGTAATTTCAACACACAATATGATAATAAATTATACATTAGTCGGTTTTGTAGTTATTCGGGCGGCCCTCTTACAGCCACCCTTCTTCTATGCGGATGGCATGGACATCATCAGTTACGCCCGCCTGGGTTTTGTCATTGGCCACGAATTCACCCATGGCTTCGATATCGGAGGCAAGAACGGTTTTCAAAGAGAATTTGCATTTTCTCCAAAACGCTATAATCAATGTCGCGTTTAGGGAAAGATTACGGGAAAGACGGCAAACCGTTTACCTGGTGGACGAATACGACGCAGACAAACTACAGTGCGAGAAAGTACTCCTTAGTGGATTTCTACAACAATATCAGCACGCCAAACAACAGCGTGAACGGACGACTAACTCTCAACGAGAACATTGCTGACAACGGCGGATACCGAGCCGCTTATTTGGTTATTCTCAGTTGTTTATATTATTTTAGTTATCTGGTGTGCAAAACCGGATTTTTTTGCAGGCTTTTCATAACTTTATGCGTCGCACGGGATACCGTATCAAACTTCCGGGGTTAGAGGACCTGAATGAAGACAAGCTGTTCTGGTTAATCGCTGCGCAGGTGATCATTGTAAATGGCTAGAATGGACCCGGTTAACCGTATCTGTTTTTAGACATCCTGCACGCGCTCTCCATTCTCTGGGGACAGCTCGCACGCTCCCCTCCGTTTCCGTGTGATGGGGCCTTTCATGAACAACGCGGATTTCGGCAAAGCGTACAACTGTTCACTAGGATCACCGATGAACCCGCGGGTTAAAGCGTGGTAAAGATACTTATGCCTGGCACACGTGAATAATTAGCATTGTTACGCTATAAACGCCGATGAAATCTGATGCTTATTCTGGTAATGTGGCAGATACCACAAAAATGTAAAATACGTGGATAACGCTTGGGAAATTTCCGCGGAATAAATTAGAAAGAATAAATTTCAAAAAGTAAAAAAAAAACAGCTAAATGGGTAAAACAAACGTTGGTTTTTAACACTTCATTACGAGGAATGCGACGACCGGCAGAGTGAATTTGTAGTACGATGCCAAGGAAGTCATCAATATTACACCTTCCTCTTCGGCCTCACACTATGGCGAATGGCGTTTTGGTTAACCCTTATCGGCTATCCCTGGTTGCTGGTTATGTGCTCCACATTGTAGCATTCACTTTAAGTATAGGCGCATCTTTCAGTAGCTCCTTCACCAAAATGGCGTATGTGGCAAAAAATCCAGCCAGCTGCAAACAAATAAGTAACACTTTATTGGCGCACTATCGTAAACGGAGTGTGTTCGTTCAAGTCGGTAGCTGATACACTGATCAAAACATGCTGAGTACCAGGAAATTTAAAAGGTTGACTAAACGATTGGTTAACACAGATACATTGAATCATGGGTTGTTTCCTATCCATCAGACCCGCTAACTCGCTCGTCTTGAGGGGAGCGAAGCCGCTACCGCGACTTCTTGTTTAGGTAAATTTATTGTGTCCTTACTGCGGCAATTAACCCGCGGTCAATCAGGAAAAACCGGCCACCGGTCAACCGCGGCGGCATACATCGCACCGAGCGCAAAAAATTACGCAGACATTCGGTCTCAGATAAACTGCATCCCGAGTACGTGTCGTGCCACTCCAATGGCGCTAAAAATTTCTCCAGCATCATTTCCCACTGTAAAGAAGCAGAAAGCTGCGTTAACGCGTTATTGAGAGCTATATGTGGGACTACGGCAGCGAAAATTCGTAAGTGCGTCTGCGGACCAGAAATTCGGTAATAACATCAATAAACACTGTGCAACAGGTCAACAGGAACCGCACCGAGTTTAATAAACTGGCAATGTTAGGCTCGAGCAGAGAAACACTTTTTTCGCGCAAAATGTTTCCAAATAGATGCATCTATCTTTGGTGCTTTTATTTGATTGCCACTTAGACATTTCTCGCTTTCCAAACACTTGTATAATGCGGATTCGCAAACCGCACACCAGAAATGTATCTATCCTCTGCGTTGTTCCACATTAAACAATTTGTTGGTTTTTTTACTAATCTCATCTACATTTATCTATTTGTATAAAAACAGCTTTTATTAGGCAATCAGGTTTTGAGATATTTTTAATAACGCCGAGAAAACCGTGTCCCAGGAGCGAATCCACATTGAGATAATCTGTGGTGCAAAGTACCGTATTTACATAACGTCTAGAGACTAAGAATGAATGAGAATTATCCTGCCATTATGCAACTTTTGGCTTACTTACTTACTTCATCATGAAGCTTAATAGTCAGCACGATGGGGACCAGCATGGACAGTATGCACAGTCCAATCACGACCACCGGAACCAGCGCTTTTGCCGACCCGCTCAGTTCCGGATTGCGGAAGCTTTGCACGAAACCCAGCACCGTCAGACTGCTACAGGCAATATGCATGAGCAGTATGAGCGAGAACGCTTTATCCAGTGCATCAATGTAGCTGCGCACTTCCATAACCTTTTCTCTGATACCATCGACCATGTCCTCGGTTTTCCGCGAATGCACCTCCCGAATCATCGCAATTCCTTCCACAATACGCGAACACACAGTAGCCATGACCAAATACGACAGAAGCTGCGGAACGCCTATAAAGGGATACAGGAGGCACTGCCATGCCCACAGCGGCATAGTCAAGCCCATCACGCGGAAGTAGTTATCATCCATGGTCCGCGGCAGCGTGCTTAATGAATACTCGTAAAACGCCAATATCTGCTGTGAAATCTGGAGCAACGTGAAAAAGATAGTAAAGAACTCCAAACGCGACCCTCCCGCCCGCCGGGTGCAGGTAGCGTGGAACGCTTGCTGCTTGCAGACGAAGGCGGTTAAGATCAGCGCCGCGGCTTCGTAGGTGAACGCGTAGCGGCCAAACTCGATCAGGATGAGAATCCCCAGGGAAACTGTGGCGTGCGCCATGACCAAGGTGCTGAACAGGAGTAACAGGGTGACGCACAACCAGTAACAGCGTTTTAAGGCCTTAAGCACAGTGGTGCGAATCTTTCTGGAATGATGGTGGTGATGTTCTCCGGTGTCCTGGTCGCAACGCTGTGCGGCATTAAGGAACAAGAAGGCGCGCAAAACACTGTAGACACAACCATGGTTGCCTAGATTCGGCATTTTGTTCAACAGGAAGAAAACAAATGCCTTTTTTTATATTATAAAAACAGCGACGCAGAAGACAGACTCATGTAGATCCCGCAAAACATGCGACCATTGAGTATACAACATGCATGGGGTAGTGAACGCTGATGAGTGTCGTATAGTTTTGATAAAACGATGAACGCCCTATCAGTCCGCCCACTCGTACTATGTAGAATACTTACTGCATCAGCGGAATAGATTCATATACGCATGACAGCAAGGAAAAACAAACAAACCCGCAGTAATAAGGATTCCCCCTTTCTCATTGCTGAGCATGTCATAAACGCAGTTTATGGTAAAGTCCATCTGTACGTTTATCGATCGATCCCTTACTTTCGCTTCCGACGCATATAGAAAATTACTGCAAACTTCGCTTTCACACATTCAGCTTATGGTGCGTTGATTTTCGACCAAAGCTAACAATAAGCGCGAAGGTTCTCTGTTCAACCAAAACGGGATTTTTGTCGATCATGTCGCGGCCATGCTCAAATTTCACACAAAATCAATTATTATTAATTCTTAAATTGTATTTGGTTTAAAAAATATAATTACAACACATATTCGAATGTAAATTTTTTAATATAATGTAATTTCTTTAGTACAATCGTTTAAAAAATAATTATTAATTTCAAATTTCTTTCGTGGGGCAATCTTTAAGCGAATGATAAGGTCCTTGAAGGGGACCGTCCATGAATAAGAAAGCTTTGGGTGCAACGTCATCTGTCCGCTGGGATCATCGAAGAAGAATCATGGGTTAAGCGCGGTAAAAGTAATTTTAGCAGCCACAATAAAAAAATGGACAGTGATAAAAAAAACATTATAAATCAGCTTAAGGCGCCGAAATTGGAAAACAAACCTTAGCACTGGCATTAAGAACAGAATTTACCGAACGAATAAGAATAAAAGATTGATACCCAACATGGCTGTTCTTTGCGTACAGGTTGCGGCGCCCAGGGTCGCTTTCTACGAGATCGCCAAATCTTTATACACCATTTGCAAACATTGGTTTAGTGGGAAGAAAGCGTTAGAATAATTGGTTGCATTTTTTACTGGAATCGCTGCAGGAATGACAATAAATACAGAGTCTGGGTTATCAGTTTGCGCTGTGGCGACTCGGTTAAAAGGGCTGCTCGAATGTCGGAAATGGTCCCGGGAGACGGACTGTTCCACCTACAAATAGTTCAGCAGTTTTATTTGAAGTGTACAGTACTTCGCAAGACTACATCGAATTAAGTTATGTGGACTGTTACTAGACAACGGTAAACCACTGCTTTGCACCGTAGTGGTTACGCTTCAAGGAAGTCGCTTTGTCGGACATTCGTGCATTACTCACAGCATAAAGGAGAGTCGCAGAAACGCCCATAGTAAATTTTCTGGCGCATGTTTGGGGAGTGGGAAAGCGTTTAACCCATCCAGCAGTCGTTCGAGCTTGCTGCTCTCCAGCTCGGGACAAAATACTTCGAACATGTGGAGAACAGACTCCGCATAATCCGCTTCCGCTGCTCCGACGAAACCGAATGACCACCTAATCACGCTGATCGAGAAGGTGTCCTCGTAGGAAAAGTACAGTTTGGCATCCAGCACATGCTGCACTCTTCCCGTAGCCGCATGGCAGATTTTCGGGAAATTCATGCACTTTTTGACATCAAACTCACAGTTTTGAAGCAGAATATTATCGCATACTGTTGCGAATTCCGGAGGCTTGTACAGGAACAGCTTATACACATCCGGTTCGATAAAATCCAGGTAGTAAGACGACTGAGGGAAGTTTATTAATTCTCCAATATACAGTTCCGTATTGTCAGTGACGACCAACCACTGAAGCTTCAGCGACAAGAAATTGAATAACTCGACCATAGAAAACAAGCAGAATTCCCACTTTCCGCATAGATACAAGGTACGGCACTGGTTTGTAACAGTTCGCGCCAGGTAATGGGCGCAGGCAAAATTTCCCTTCCAAATCCACGTACTGTACACTGATCCCTTGTCAGGATTCATCGTATCGTAGTCAGGACGCGTTGGCACAATGGCGCACGACTGGATCATGCTGGTGTTTAACAGGTGAAGAAATGTCCTACTTACCCTGTAATGCAAAGCAACATACAATAACCTTTTCAACAAGGACTCCTTAATTAACCCAGAATTATGACCTTGTAGGGTATCACCAGGTTTGTTGCTCTAAATGTGACTCGTACAGGATAGAGGATCGCGTTAAAATCGGTATACAAAGTAAATCTGTGTAAAGGACCGCAAGATGACGCTAGTCCAGTAAATTCAGCTACGCAAATGTAGCAAAACCTGAATAATGCCGACCAAGAATGCATATGTCGAATAAAGCTGGAGAACCTTTCTACACTTTTATCGTCTACCTCTTGATGAAATTTTGGTGGAATATGTCCAGATATGAAAAGACGACGACTTGAATTTCCAAGAATAGATTGCAGAAGCACGGCTCATCATCTCGAATCTCTACGAATTTAGGAAAAAAATTTGAAGGCAAGACGGCGACGTCGACACTGCTCAACAGGTGCCGACTTTTAATCTTGTAAATTATACAAGCACCTTGATGGCGCTGTGCAAGCTTGTCCCGTAATTTCTATCGTTAGGGTACAGATAGCATGTACCAAGTATTTAGCGCGAAAGTTGCGCTGTGATCGACTGCCACTAAACTACGCCTAGAATGACAAATTTATTCCTCTCTAGATTTAAGATCATTATAAGGGAAAAAAATAGTATTTTATAATTTTTACCGATAGTTTATAATTTAGACCGGTATTTGCTATACATCAGCTATGCCAGAAACATCTACAGTGTAAATAGTGTTGTGTGGCGTGCCGTGGTATAAAGTGTGGCGTAACCTGCAGATTTGTATTTGTTCGGTATGCTAATGCGATAGAAATTAGGGGGGCCGCTTGTACTAACAATAAACAGATGTTCATAGCAAATAAGTTTTCTTAGTACCGCCATGGTGCATTTTATGAACACCTGAAGTCGTGAACTATTCCGTGGTCCACACGTGAGCAGTTCTTCCTCATGTAATTTACCATATGAGGGGCTGCCGATCGCCAAGCGTTAAACGCTCTCTGTGTAATAGGTTAACAACTTTAAATTGAATGAAGAGCTGTCGCTCGATAACGGGGCGAGCGTTCGTTTAAATTACAGTACCTCCAAGGAGTAAAAATCAGTGTTTCGGCACACCGACAATTTGCTGACCGCCACCTTGCTGACCAATAACTTGCGGACGACCTTTTGCTGAACGACAAAATGTTTGCCCGGCAATTTGTTGAAACGACAACTTGATGATAGAAAGGAAAAGCGGCATGAGCCAAAAGGAATATGACTCATATGAGGACATGATAAAAATTTTAATACTAAGAAATCTAAAAAACCCAGTAAACGCGCTTAAGAAACAAAGAAACCAAAAAACCAGGCCAACACGCAAACTGTCGGTAACAAAAAAGTTATCGCAAAACGTCGGGCAGCAAAATTATAGGAAAGCGGATTGTCGGTCAGCAGTCTGTCGGTTAGCAGGTTGTGTTAATCCGCAACATGTCGATCAGTGAATTGTCGGGCAGCAGAACGGAGGTCAGCAAATTGACGTGCTATCGCGTAGCTTAGCCGTCCTAAGTTCTCTCAGGTTTCTCAAGTTGTCTTAGGTTTCATAAGTTTTTTTTATAAGTCTTCCTACCTTTACAATGCTGAACAGTGCAGCTCAAGCCATTCAGTATCTGGTCGACGGTCGAGCGCTGGATAATTAGCAAGCGTTCCACAAAATCCACTATCCATTTCTCCACTGGACAGCAGCGCTCATCGTCGACCCCGTCGTCTTCCTTCCCCACTGACTTGGGATATTCAGGGGAGAGCAGCACTTCTACATACTCATCGTGAACACTGAGTAGCATCCCGCTAGTTTTTCTCAGCCAGAAATCAGAAAATCGTGGAGACGAACATGCTGTTCTGAGCCAGCGGACTGAATGCGGATACTGTACGGACGCGTCGAACATCAACACGTGCGCTTTTTCAAACGCATCCCGTGGTACCAGTGGGCCGAGGCATCCGCGCTTGCGGATCCTCTGTGTCATCGCTGTTGGTCCATCGATAATGGTGTAGCGAGCCGGCGTGGAATCCGGCTGGATGACCTCCACCGTGGCTATGGAAAACTGAAAACAACTGGACACGGAATTGTTCCCTTCCATACCCGCACAACAAACGCTGTCAATCAACCCAGCTGGTGTCCAAGACGGTACGCCGCCGTCCCGGAGGGCGATGCGGACGTCAATATCGCCCGAATTCAAGCGGCTAGGTAATTCTTCGGGTTCTTCTTCCTTCACGCTCCATGCGCGACCAAACGGAATATGCTGCACTGTTTGGCCATCTAGTTTAACATAAAGGCCGTGTGCGTTCACATCGCAGACGTATCCTCGCATGAATTCACCTGCATCTCCCAGTACATCCACAACAAAGGGATCATACAGACCACGCGTCAATCGCATGGCATACTCCGGTTGGTGTATGGGGAATCCGAGGAAGGTCCCCATGGGTCTGGGAGCAGGGATTCAGCTGCAGCTTCCCGACTGTCAGAGATTCATTATCTGCGTAGAATACAAAGGCTGCTCAACGGACACTGACTTAGAATTCAAAATTTATGTACTCAAGTCACCGAATTGTCAATCAAAAATTCGCATTGTCGTTGAACGTACACTATAGACTATAGACAATTGCACCGCACTCGTATTTAAGTCAGGGAAGCAGGAATAGAATTGTATCTTGACGTGCATTCGGCGATGCACAGTGGCGTGCCGGTCCCGATCGATAATCAACGCAACATACGCACCCATGGGATTCAGTTTGCCTGCCAAAGCGATCAATAGTTTCGGTCACTCAAGTCACAATCAGCTATCACTACTGCTGTTATAGATGCGCCTGCTGATGAGTGAGTGAGCGACCCAACAACCACTATAATCTTGTGCGCAGTGCACACAGCGCGCCCGCCAGTAGAACGTTTCGTACCACAGAAAAAAACTTTTACTCTTCTTGTAGTCATCTGTAGATAACCTGTAGACACCCTGTAGACCACCTGAGATACCCTGTATACACCCAAAACGCCTAAGAACCAGGTGACGACAGTATGTCTACGGTGGTGTGTCTACGGGCTTTCTACAGATGACTACCGGTGTATGTATACAGGCAGAACATCCAGTTGAATCCAGGAAGTGCTGCCTGTATACAGCGGTTGACACCTGTGGACAATCTGTAGGCACCGTTGTAGATAACGTGTATATATCGTAAGAAACTTAAGAATCCTAAGAATCCAGGTGGCTACCGATAGGACTACAAGGTGTTCACAGCTGTATCTACTGTGGCTACAAGAAGAGAAAAAACGATTCAATTTTTCCTTTGGTACGAAAGGTGCCAGGTGCGCCAGTTGTATGAGTGGCCGAACTACCAATGCGGTCCAATCGAATACATTCATTCGGATATGGACCACAAAAGAGTTAGAGACGAAGCCGGGACCGTTTTTGTATTTTGTGTGGCCTCGTTTATGGCAAGCGGGCGGCAGAATTTAACTCTTGAACGTTCAAGGTAAAGAAGGTATCCTATCATGCAGTTTCTTCAGCTAAAAAAATTTGGCGATTTACTGAATAAATTCTTATTCTAAACGCCAATGTTTTTTTCAGCTTACTGCACTATTGTTGTTTTTCTTCGCATATTTTAACTTAGATCAGTTTGCAAAAGCAGTGCGGTTTAATGTAGGGTTGTCACCCCACCAAGGTTTTGGAGGTGGTATAGATGATGGGAATGTGAACAGGGAGTGATGTGACTGGTGGGATAGATTGTTAATCTAATGATTGATTTCCGACATATTTTTCACAACAAAGTTTTTATGCTAGCTGGCATTTTTGCAGATAGTTTTACAAAATCAAATACTGTAACACCACATAAAAATGCCGGCATTAAAGAGCTGCAAGGTTTTGCAGTTAGAGTTGAACCACGTCACTCAAAGTTTACCTGAGTGAGTGACGGCGCAACTTTTTGCACGCTAGCATAAAACATACGTACACATACATAAACCATTAAGATGGCATATTCCATGTTAAAAATTTGCATATACGAGTCGATGATATTAGAATTATATATCGTTATGCGTACACTGTTACACAGCTTCCGCATGGTACGAAACACTACCGGATAGTGGTGTGCACTCCTTTTTGCGAGCAGTGTATCAGCGCCTTTACCGCTAACAAATGCTTCACTGTTGCTACTTGTACATCTATGCCGAGATTTAAAGTTTATTGAGTCTAGACTGATCTATCATACACAGATGCAGCCGCCTGTTTAGCTAGCTTGCAGATAATAATTATTATTAGAACATTAGCATGACTAACGTAAAACGTCATAACATGGAGTAACTAGCACCATATACGGAGCATGCAAGACGATGCAACATGCTAAGGATAAGCGTATGTTGAATGATATCCAACGAGTGCGTGACGGCAGCATAGCACTGTAAAATAGTGTAACTTCGAAGTGGCTGCAGCCTACAGGCTCCTTTTCATTCAGTTTAAAAATCTTTATTTTTGACGCTGACAGCGGAGTAACGATGATTTCTAAGTTCAGAACACTTTCAACTTTATTCAATATCGGCCGGTACGGCTGATCGGCGGGAGTGCAGACTGTAGCTGGTGTGAATGGCGTCCCCATTCTGGTGATTATATTGCCACAGTCCACACTGCGGTACGGAATTATAATAATATTCATAATTATTATTATGATTGCATAGTGCACTTTGAACTGTTGATGGCGTCGGTCCGTATGTGTCCAATAGAGTTTTGATCAGAACAGTGGTTTTGGCCTTTAGAACTATGTCCAGCAGACTTGACGAGCAGGAGGTTTCCAAAACCTCATTTAAAAGATGACCTGTCACAATGTTCTACATTTTTATTAGCAGTTCGCGGTCTTCAACTGATTTGCAAAAGACTGGGTAGGCACTTGTCTCCTGAACTCCTCCGTGTACAGTCGTGCTGACATCTAAGCGTTTTACGGTTATATACAATTCACACGGGACACATCGAATACAAAATTAATATTTATTGTACGGACGAGCAGCGCCTAATCAGTTGCAAAACCCGCAGGGCGCCTCGTTTTGATGCTTACGAAAACGGCAAGAATCCGTTACGGTGCATAACCTCAAATGGATTCCGGCTAGTTTCCCCCAAAGCACATCGTTCTGCACGGGTTTATTAATCCATGGAATTACATTATGTGTTTCGCCTTGTACCCTGATTGATCGATGGGGTCCACGGAGCATGCGTTTGACACTACATGTATTCAAAAGGCTGGACCAACGATGCTGATTGGTGGAGTAGCATGTGGTTTGCTTGGCGTGTAAATTTTCTCTGGCAGTTAATAACCCTGTCCATACGCCAGCACGTGTGTAGGTGGGTGGGGTCAACTGTCAAACTGACACCATCCAAAACCACCCACTAGGGCGTGGTGACACGTACGTATTGTCTACGTAGTGTCTGCGTGGACCATAACTAGTTATTTACCGTAGCTTCCCCTTCTTCGTGGACAAGCACCTAATGTAGGTAAGCTGCTGGCTTTTTATCTAATTGGCAAGCATTCATCTCGGTCCCTGTGCATTTGTGCATTCAGTGCCGATCACCGTCGGGACGAACACCACGTTATCCGTAATCATTAACACGGAAGACCATCGCTACGAATCTGTCGATGAGAATTATTTGTAATAAAATGTTAAAAACTACCTGGCTACCACTCTCAAAAAAAATAGGACCAATGGCAATAAGTATTATATCCCATTGAAATTATTAATGTTCGAATATAATAATGTAAAGTGTGTTCGAATATGTAAATAATAATACGTTCACATAGTATTATATCCCATATTAATTCAAAATGGGTGCCTTTAATAAACCAGGGTTCTAGGGGGTCTAAAACGGTTTTCTATAAAATAAACTTGAAATAACTAACCAGTAAAGTTGTGTATTTCGGATGTTTATCATATAGATAAACAAACGAGTGCCCTGACAGTGGCCCCCTTATTTTCCTACTTTCGGATTCCGCTGCCAACTGTCAGATGTTCCTTCGGTCAACACAAGATGTTTCGACCAAAGGAACATCGGACAGTTGGTTTCGCCGCTGAAAAATGTACGCCAGAGGCCGTGGAAGAACTAGACGAAATAAACACTGATATGGCCTATTATCACGAACATTCCAACGGTCCAAATGTCCGCCGGACGTCTTGTCGTCAGGAAGTTGTTGTCGGTTACACACGTGCATGCCTATGGAAAGTGGAGACAACCGCATGTCAATAACTTACAATTAACCGGCAGGCGCTAGTGGTTTCATGACGGCTCGTTGGCCTAAAAGTAGATCTTTCTTGCTCTTCCGTCGAGACAAAGTGCTTCTCACGCAAAACTTGTCCAGAGTCTGTTCAAACAAATACCGCATAACCGGCGTTCTTATGTTTTACGGAAAATTTCCTGGTCGTCGAAAATAAAGCCAACGCCTTTCAGTTTCTTGCGCACTAAATTTCGCGCGACTTGTGATGTCAACGGTTGGGAGATATCTGAACGCCACCCGGATCTGTGCATGCTGTTCTTGGGATAATTCTCTATCCATGTTCGCCAGTTAAAAATTTCGTGGAACATACGTCTCCCGCGGATTTTTCAACTTGTGAACATGTATACTACGTTTCTACGAACGCAATCTGCGTACCATCGGCCTACAACACGCCGCATACGATGACAACGGTGGTCCGCTTACGCGCTCCACAAGTTTGTTTTTGCCACGGAAATGAGTGGCAGTGGAATTGCGTATGTATTTTTTTAAACTGAAAACTACCCAATTTTCACAGTAAATAACTACGTGTCTACGTATACAAACTTAATAAATCATATTTGTAGGCGGCCAAATCCTGTTGGTAAGGATGGATTCCAGTCCTTGAGTATTTTAGGTCGGTGTATTAATTATTACACCGACCTAAAATACTACCAGGAAGGGATTTATGGTCGGCATGATCCGCCAAATAGATGCCGGAAAAAGCAAGAGCGATCCTGGAAATGCAAAATTTTTAAGGGAGGCTGTCCATTGTTTATTTGAAGCTGATTATGTGGGTAGAGTTATGCGTTTTCGTCCAGATTGCGCGACTACGCAGTAGAAATCGGTTAACGATAAATTATGCTCCTTACTATCAAATCGTGAGCTGAAAATAATAATTACCAGCTCTCCATAAAAGTAATAATAAAATAATAATTATCATTCTCTCCTTAAAATATAATTACCAGCACTCTTTGGCAAGCTTAAATTATTAAATAAAAAATAACTCCGTATTCTTATGTTTGTGAAAGCACTTATTGATTGATGCCTGCAAGGCTGCACAGCATATCATTTTACTCGTACGTCAATTTTTTTAAGTAACAATTACTTATTACACAGTACACACTATTTTACACACCGTTTTTTTTCGCTGGTTGTAATTATTCCTGAAACAACTGTATATCGGGATGTAATTAAAGAAGCACTTGCTAGTAGGCCAACAGCGTCAAAAAAGACAAAAAAAAACAAAGTTAGAGAGTGAGAGTGGGTATCAGCCGAGCACTTCGCCCAAATCATATTCGCCCATCAATTCAACCCTCGACTCTCTTATGAACCTAGGTTCAAAAACATTTTTAACAATTTATCACCTTCGTTCATAACGTAGGCCATCACCTTCGTCCATAACGTAGGCCTACGTTATGAACGAAGGTGATAAATTGTTAAAAATGTGTAGTTAAATAAAAGATTCCTTCGGAATTCAGTTTCCTATTGTGAGACGTGAAAGCTTTATCGGCTTTGGATCGTTATGCATGGTGGGAGTCCACGTTTTTGCCGTTTTGGAGCTTTCGTTGTGGTAGTTCCCTGTTCTGCTGTGAGATGACCTTTCACCCCGTCTAATCAAAGTTGTTAGCCTGCTGTGCCGATGCTGCTCAGAGCATCAGCCCGACTGTTAGAAGGTTTCTGTCCATGGTTTGCTTTGAGTGGATAAACCTTACTCACCAAGCATGTGTCGCTGTAATCCGTATTTCCCAGCTGCTTAATAAAATAATGTGAGCAGAAAAGCCCCAAGTACTCCTAGTAACGCAGTTGTATCTGTTTGCAGGTGGAGCACTTCGTCTTCCGATACAATTTCCGATGTTCAAACAGGGAGCATCGCAGCGGAGTAATAACACACATTTTTCCCTTATTAACATTCTTCCAAAGGCTCCTAAAAAGGGGTGTTGGAGCGGCAGTAAACGACACCCTGATCAGATTGATTGTTATTTTGCAATCCGAACACTGACGTCGCTATATACCTTCGTGCACTACAGATATGCACCACAAAAGTAGTACAATCGGAGAACGACAATTAATTTACACAGTTGATAATCTAGAATGCTTCTAACGCACGACGTTCCCAGTGGGTGTCGGGCCAATGTCCGGCAGTTTGTACTGTATAAGTCTTGAGTGCATTGAACAAATCTACAAAGTTATAGATAATTCTAGCTGAGCGTAGGATACGAGTCTACGACTTACTCGTATTCCCTTGCAAATATTGATCGCTGTGGTATTATTAAAAGCGAAACTCTCGTAAGTGTGGGTTATCGATCGAATCGGTACGTGAAATGTATCGGCAAACCGACGACAGGATCCTGTTAGCATGGAACGCTGCAAGCACATAACGTTTCTGTATAGTGTATACATACATGCATCCAAACCAGATATGTTTATTCTATTTCCGCGACCCCTAAATACACACTATCCTACGCTGTACCTAGTCCACTCAGGGTCTGAATGGCTTGAAATACATTGTGACAAGTCGTACTCCTCTCATCTTTCAAGTGAGATTTTGTTAGACAGCCTGGGCATCAAACTTGGATTCGTCGGAAAATCTGTGACTTCACTGACGCAGCCATACAGGTTGTTCACTGACGCATATTATTCACCTCTGGATAAAATATTTTTCTTTTGAATGAAAACTAACGAAATTGATGATAAATAACGAAATTGGGTTTTCAGTTTCCGTAGACACCATGTTTATTTTACGTTATTAACGAATTCCTGATTTGCTTCGTGCAGGAAGTATAAGGTTAAACTGCGTACCGTAATCGACATCACTGATACAATGCCTATGGGAAAATGTCTTATGTTCCCTCTACACAGGCCAGAATACTCCTTACAATCTGAAAGTGGTCGGTATGATCCATTTGTTGTGGATGTACTGGGAGCAGCTGGTGAGTACATGCGAGGATATGTCTGTAATGTGGATGAACAGGGCCTGACGGTTAAGCTGGACGACCTTACGGTGCAGCATGTCGCTTATGGTCGCGTATGGAGTGTTAAAGAACCCGATTTCGGAGAATCAACAATGAAGCGGAACTCGGGTGATATTGACGTTCGCATCGACCCCACAGACAGTGGCGTGACGTCGTGGACCCCCGCTCGATTAGTTGACAGCATTCATTGGAGTAGGGAATGGTACCATGACTACCATCGTAGGTCTTGCCGGTATTCTGTAGTCACAGTGGAAGTGTCCCAACCGGATACAACCGTTGCGCAGTACACCGTCATTGATGGACCCACAGCGCTGACACAACGGGTGCGTAAACGCGGGGATCTCGGCCCAGTGGTCCAACGAAATGCCTTTCAGAAAGTTCTCGAGCCCATGTTCAATCCGTCAGAGAAATATCCGCATCCCGTGCGCTTTTTGAAAACAGCGTGTTCGTTCCCACGATTCCATACATTCTGGCTGAGAGACACTCACACGATCTTACTTGGCCTTCATGATGAGTATATGGAGCTGCTGCTCTCCCCTGTGCGAGCTAAACTTTACAACATGTTGAAAGAGGACTACATTGCCGGCAATGGCCGCAATGACGATTGTGCTCCAGTGCGGAAATCGATAGCGGATTGTGTGGAAGGCTTGTTCATTATGCAGCGTTGGACAGTCGACGAAATACTTGGTGGATTGGTCTGCACTGTTCTACAGTCAGAAGGTATTACAGTAAAACATAGGAATACCAGTAACAAATATTCTATTTTATGGCTTCTCTAGAAACAGCGGAATCCATTCCCGCTCGGAATTAATGTGATCCTTCACTGCCAAAACCAGTAAAGGATCACTTCTTTACACATAATGTGCTTTGACAACGTTACGATTTTGCAGAGTTTCGTGACGGTGAGCCATGCTTTAGTGAGCTAATCTTGGAAATTCAAACCCTGATCTACTCGAATCTGGACATATTCCATCAGAATTTATTTAAAAGGTAAACACACGGTGGTGCTTTGACGAATGTCTTAACAAATGCCGTCTAGATAGCGCAAGACAGTTTTCGCAGTATAATGCCTTGTTCGAATTATCGGACCTACGTTCGTTACTAAATTTTTGAGTTACTCTTCTGTAATCAGTACATTAATCGCTCCAGCTGTAGTGGAGCCGTTGAGGGGCAAATACGATTTTAACAATTCTTGGACATTTTCGTAGAAAATTGTGGTGCAGTCATACCTTAACATTTGACTAGAGAATTAAGGATTAAAAGTGTTATCTTTGCTTTCTGCCTATCTTTAGTCAAACAAAGTATGACCCGTGGTTCTATGGGCGAAGGAGGACATTTTTTTACATTTTGACGTCTCTTCCGTCATTGCCAGTACTTATCGTGCATGAAAAATAATTATTGTGCATGAAAAATTGATAACCAGGTTTTACGAACAGACAGTAAGGTTTCTTCAACAAAACTAAGGTGGTGGTAAGAACAATTTGAATAAACGCTATCCTACCAGTCAATCGATTCTTTGTGGAAAACTGAACGAAGTGGCTATTTTGCCGCAGTGTTTGCGGCTAAATAGCCAGTTGGCTATTTTGCCGCACTAGGGTGGGCGAAATAGCTTGTTGGCTATTTTACCGCACACTGCGTTAAAATAGCTGCTCAGCTATTTTGCCGCACTATGGTCGGCAAAATAGTCAGTTGGCTATTTTGCCACACCATTATCGCAGCCTGTCTCGCCGCACGCTTTCACACCTATAGCCCATTTCGTACCACGCTATAAAATGGGCCCGTCTTTTTGTTCCACGTAATCCAAGTATTCCTATGTATGCCACAAGTATTCTTCCCGTAGGCTGTCCGTGTTTATAAGCGCATTTTAGATTTCACAAAACAAGTTCCGTCCAGTTCCACATTCGGGTAGAAGTTGGCGTTACGGGTTGATTTACGTCCGTTCGCGACGTAAGGCGCCGTAACCCAACGTCGTTGGCTGACGCGTAAAAACTACCTGCCTTACGTGGATCTGTGCAACGGCTCAGCCTGACTGAGCGAGAAGGCAGCGTATGCTGCCTGTGGATCTTTGTTGTGTGCTCTAACCGCCTCCCCGCGAGAAGGTTGGTCACGCTCTCGGCACTCTCGATTCGATTTGTGTTTCCAGCTGTACGTCACTGCAAGTGTGCATCCGTACAAGCATTTTAAACGCCGTTTTAATAGTCTGCTAACGTACTGTCTATCTGACGCGGTAGTTTCTAGTGAACGGAGCCTAAACCATGTGAAATCTAAAATTCCCTATAATGTACTGTATTCTTCAGTGTATTTGAGTAGGTTTCTTAGCCTTCTTAGGTTTTGAACTACAGGGGTGCTGTGCCAAGTTCGGGCAGTTGCGTAAAATAAATTATAAATATTCCCGTACGCCATTTTACTTTTGCTTCTTCACTTTTCCAGTATAACTTTTCCTTGCAAATCCAACAATTTCAAATGTTTAATCGTTTGATTTGATAATAAGGAGCCAGCGGAACTTAAGGGGCTGAGGTGGAGGTAATTTTTCGGGGGCTTATAACTGGACCAATTCAAAATGTCTTAACAAATATTCTTGCGCGAACAATTTCGAAAACAGTTGAGTTACCCAGAAGTTTTCAAGGGTCGGCATAGGGACCTTGCAACATCAGAGCTCGAGGTGACCTCGGAACAAGGTGCATTTTCCATAGACTTGTATGTTAAAAAGTACCTACAGGGGAATGCGGCTGCCTAGAGCACCGATCCCATTAGGGAAGATTTTAGTGTTTAAACTGAAGGAACGGAAAGACCCTTAGAAAACACAGCACACACCTCGTAGTTCTTAGCCTCTACCAATTTTTAAATTTTCGTTGAAGGAACATGATTATTTTGTTCTAAGCAGTGCAATTTTTGCACAAAAAATGAAACTAGAAATTCGGCTCGTTGTCCTTGTACATCAGCGTTTTGCATAGAAGCAAAATTACCTAAGGTGGTCGAGGGTAAGAACTATTTTGTAAGAATAAACTAGGAAAATGCACTTCTTCGTGCATTGGTAGACCGGAGCGCAGCTTGGAGTGAGAAATAAAATTTTTGTTTATTCGTAGTAATTTATTTTGATCTCACAAGCAACCGGCACGAATTAATGTAAAAACCAGTATTCATTAAAGGTTAATTTAGATCAGCGGTACGCATTGTTGGTCATTTCAAACGGTTCAGCCGTTGTTCTTCTTTTATACGTTGAATAGTGGTTCTTTTAGTTTTAATGCTAGTGAGCAATGAGAACGGAAATGTAGGCTCTAAAGCCAAACCCTTCCAAGACTTGACTCGGGACAGGGCAACGTAGATCAGTCCGGAGGCAATTAAAAATATTAGACTTAATTGGCAGAATCAGAGGAATATTTGCAACTGCCCGAACTTGGCGTAGCACCCCGTAAAACAGCACGGAATACAGGCCGAATTCATGGGAATGCGATAAGATGTTGCAGGAACACAGCAGCCACAAGTTCGAGATAAGAGAGTTGCATTTGACCTGAGATGGTTTAGTATCGCCCTATGCCATGGTAGCACCTACCACCGTCCGGTAGGCTCCCTCCGTTGGCTTCAATTTCGGTGCCGGGTGGTAAGATGGAATGCACTTCGTAGTCTACCGAACTCGTGGGCGCAGTGGTGCAACCAAGGCTGCGGCTTTCAGGTTTGCCGCAACTACTGGGCCACCGACATTATGACTCTGATGCCAGTTCACGTATTAAGCCCCGGTTCGAGTTACATGCCGGGTCAACGGTGGCGTACGCGCACTGCTGAGGTGATCCCCCACATGGCAGCGCTGGGAACGGCACAGCTGGGAACGGCACAGCCGGGAACGGCACAGCCGGGAACGGCACAGCCGGGAACGGCACAGCCGGGAACGGCACAGCCGGGAACGGCACAGCCGGGAACGGCACAGCCGGGAACGGCACAGCCGGGAACGGCACAGCCGGGAACGGCACAGCCGGGAACGGCACAGCCGGGAACGGCACAGCCGGGAACGGCACAGCCGGGAACGGCACAGCCGGGAACGGCACAGCCGGGAACGGCACAGCCGGGAACGGCACAGCCGGGAACGGCACAGCCGGGAACGGCACAGCCGGGAACGGCACAGCCGGGAACGGCACAGCCGGGAACGGCACAGCCGGGAACGGCACAGCCGGGAACGGCATAGCCGGGAACGGCACAGCCGGGAACGGCACAGCCGGGAACGGCACAGCCGGGAACGGCACAGCCGGGAACGGCATAGCCGGAACGGCACAGCCGGAACGGCACAGCCGGGAACGGCACAGCCGGGAACGGCACAGCCGGGAACGGCACAGCCGGGAACGGCACAGCCGGGAACGGCACAGCCGGGAACGGCACAGCCGGGAACGGCACAGCCGGAACGGCACAGCCGGGAACGGCACAGCCGGGAACGGCACAGCCGGGAACGGCACAGCCGGAACGGCACAGCCGGGAACGGCACAGCCGGGAACGGCACAGCCGGGAACGGCACAGCCGGGAACGGCACAGCCGGGAACGGCACAGCCGGGAACGGCACAGCCGGGAACGGCACAGCCGGGAACGGCACAGCCGGGAACGGCACAGCCGGGAACGGCACAGCCGGGAACGGCACAGCCGGGAACGGCACAGCCGGAACGGCACAGCCGGGAACGGCACAGCCGGGAACGGCACAGCCGGGAACGGCACAGCCGGAACGGCACAGCCGGGAACGGCACAGCCGGGAACGGCACAGCCGGGAACGGCACAGCCGGGAACGGCACAGCCGGGAACGGCACAGCCGGGAACGGCACAGCCGGGAACGGCACAGCCGGGAACGGCACAGCCGGGAACGGCACAGCCGGGAACGGCACAGCCGGGAACGGCACAGCCGGGAACGGCACAGCCGGGAACGGCACAGCCGGGAACGGCACAGCCGGGAACGGCACAGCCGGGAACGGCACAGCCGGGAACGGCACAGCCGGTTCCAGTCGCCGGCCGCGAATCCAAACATTGCCGTCGCACGGTTCCACGGCATGCAGCAGTAGAACCGTGCGACGCGTTCATAGGAATACATAGGAACACTTGGAATACTTGGATTACGTGGAACAAAAAGACGGGCCCATTTTACGGTTCTACTGCTGCATGCCGTGGAACCGTGCGACGGCAATGTGCATGTTCCGTTCCCTGCTCGTTGTACCCATCCGCCATCTCCGTTCCCCAGCGTCGTGCCGGGCCAGGCCGATTCGTGCCCACTGGGCCTCCGAAGTTCTGGCCGACTATATTCCATCCCCCTCGATTGGCTCAGTTCTGGCCGAGCTAACCTCCGGCAAATCTGCCGGCTGGCTAATTTCCCTCCATATCCGGGCTTATGCCGTAGTTCCCGCACCATCTTCCATTGCCTCTTCCATGCCTCCCTGCCTCCGGCGGGTTCGGTTGGGGCTGTCCGTACTGTGGCGGGGATGCAGGGCAAGGCCGAAAGGTGTCGAGTTTACGGCCAATGCGTGTCCGGGCGACGCGAATCCTTATTTCACTTACACAGGCCAGCACGAACATCACCTTTCCGGTAGGCGAATCGAGCCGTAAACTTGGCCATTCAGATATCGATCGGCCAACCGTCCTTTGGTTCTTCTGCCGTCGATTCCTAGCATTATTCCGCCACCCTAACCCTCTAAGTCGGAGCGCAGCCTCGCCTGGCACATTTGCCAGCAGCTGGAGAACAACGGCCAGCCTCGGTCGCACGACAACTGGAAGGTAAACCCTGCCAACCATAACGGACGGTGCGGTGGCCCACGCTAGCGCGAAAACGACATCGGACCCAAGCCCGACATCAGCAAAACCCGTCGGAAAGTGACACCCGGACAACGGCGGCCAAGACTACAACGACCGACATCGAGGATGATCCTTGCCGCCGACATAAACTAATCCGGCCTCGGCGAGACGCCAGAAATACGGCGCCGGAGTAACTGACGGAAGAAGAACCGCGGTAGTGACGCGATCGACCGGGTTTTGCAGCAACCCACCGGAAAATCCGGGAGGCGCCGTGCCGGGCTGATATCAAAAGTTCATCCTGTCGGGTGTGCCGCAATCGTCCACCACGGCGATCAGGTTCCTCGTGTTAGGCTGTTTCTTCCGCCGGTCAGATCCATCGCTCAGGATGGTTCGTGCGGCCGTGGCGTTTGATCTTGAAGCCTCCTATCTGTCCCCGTCTGTTTAGACTGTCCGTCCGGCTTCGGTGGGTTTGTCCGCCTCGCCGCATCGGTAGTCTGGGGTGCCGTGCCGTTCAATCCCACCGAACCGAGGAAACGCGAAGTAGCACTCCGCGGCGCCGATCTGTCGTCAGATTTGTCTCCAAACCGGCTACTCGTTTCTCAAGCTGTTCCGTTCGGTGTATCATTGTTCCAAGTTCCTGTTCTAGGTTGACGTGTTTCAAAAAGACATGTGTCTGCTCCTTCGGATCTTTGACAATTCATGCGATGAACTCGGTTGACTTGACCAGAGATTTTTTGAGCTTTTCCTTGTACGCGTCCCTTCTTTTCTTGCCGTCCGAAGCTGTCGCTGTAGCATCTCTATTAAACGCTTCGGTTCTTTTGCTGCACTCCTGCCTAAGGTAGACGCTCTCGGTCGCGAAAATGTCCACCCGTTTTTGTAGTCGGTCGGTGACTTCTGCTATGTCCGCATTCTCCGTTCTCAGGGTGGTGATAGTTGCATACTTTTCCGCCAAAGTTGCCTTCTTCCGGTCCATCTTGTTCCGGGTGGCTGCTAACTGGACTACCAGATGAGCCGATTATCCGTTTATCGTGCCATCGGTGATCTTGTCCGGCGGTCCGCTAAGTTTCTGGAACTGATGGCCTTCCGGCGTCTGAAATACCGGTTCGTTCGGGTCGAGTTCTGTCCGCCCTCGGTGTTGATTCCGGGCTGCCGTCTGCCAGAAACAATGGAACAATTCCGGCTCGAACAGTGTTAACCGGCGACGGTATGGCCGACTCGCCCGTCAAGCGGTTGACTTAGCTCTCGGTCGAACTCTGCCGAGTGACCGTTGGTGCAAGCTGGTCCGCTCCAACCGGGCCGGGTGATCCGGCTGCCGTGCCGGGTTGCGATCCCCACTGCGGATTCCGCTACCCGTTTTCCGGATTGTGCGTTTCCCGGCTCGGTTTGGTCCGCAGTGTCCACCGGGACGCCGGGTAGCCGAGCGGGCGTGTGTGATGCTCGCCCTTCTTCAGAGTGCTGTCCATGCGTGTCCGGAGGGTGTTCCGTCCGTTTTGCTAAGTGCGGTCCGACTAAAGTGTCAGCTGGCTACAGACGTCTGCAACCGTCCAAAACGACCGGCGGTCGTCTCTAAGACGACCGCCGGTCGTTTTTGACGGTTACAGACGCGCACTACGCAAAATTCGCAATAAATGACTAATATCTGTCCGGTGTTAGTTCGTTATGGCAAACAAAATTATTCTGATAAATTTTCGGACACATAAAAACATTTCTTACCTTTGCCAAAATTTTAAATAACACCAACATTACTTTCCAGTCTAATGAAATCGACTTTTGATCGTAGGTGCACCTGAGGCGAAGGCGACAATGTCTTTTGTCTCGTCTATGTTAACGTAACCTTCTGTATAACCCAAAATTCTTTTTACTTGCATGAATATCCAAACTCGTAGCGTAGCTCGCACGCTCGTTACACGTTCTTTAAGAAATAGCAAATCCAAAAAAAATTGCCAGCACTAGTTGTTAGCCTATCATGTCGAGGGAACCGATAATTAGTGCGGGCATTTTAAAGAAATGTGTTGGCAGAGTTGCCTCTTATTACGGAGTGTTCCTTATTAAAATTATCCTATTCCCGTCCATAGTGCGGCAAAATAGCTAACGAGCTGTTTTAACGCAGTGTGCGGTAAAATAGCCAACAAGCTATTTCGCCCACCATAGTGCGGCAAAATAGCCAACTGGCTATTCCGACGCAGTGTGCGGCAAAATAGCCTGAGGGCTATTCAGACCTTATTGTTATGCTGCGGCAAAATAGCCATAGCCAAAACTAAATTTAGTACGCCAAAGCATGTAGTATAACTATACTGTACTTCAACTGGATAGGCGGACCTCCAGTCAAACTGACGAAATGACCGGTTCAGTTTGTCAGTTCGGGACACCAGTCGCTCCAGTAGAGGTGTTTCCATCAGCTTCTACTGAAGTGTACCATTTCCTTTATCATCATAACATGTCATAACTGCCGGTTGTTACGATACGTTGCTTTGCGTTACAGGGTATGTAAGGCAACTCAACACCTGCTAGACTCACGTATAATCCAGTCGTGTGTCATTATGCCTACGCGGCCTCTCAGTGAAGCTCTGCATCCTGATGCTAAGACGTCAACATACAGTACCTGGATGTGGAAGGGAAGTTTCGCCTACACCCACTACCTGGCTCGAACTGTCACGAGCCACTGCCGTACTTTGTGCCTCGTCGGAGAAAGGGAATATTGCCTGTCTTTCTTGGTCGACTTACTGAATTTCTTGTCACTGAAGCTAAAGTGGCTGGTCGTCACTGACAACGCGCAGTTGTACATCCATGAACTGTTTGATTTTCCTCAGCCGACCAATGTCTTAACCTTGACCAAGGCGGATGTGTACATGTTGTTTCCTTACAAGTCTCCAGAATTCCGAACAATATGCGATAATATCCTGCTGCGAAATTGTGTGTTCGATGCGAAGGAGTCCATTAACTTTCCTATAATATGTGACAACGGTAGTATGATGGACATTGACAACGAACTGTTCATCCGATACGAAGACACATTCTTGATCAGCGTGGCTCATTGGTCGTTCAGTTTTGCCGGTACAACGAAAGCGGATTATTTGGCGTCAGTTCGCAGGATTTTCGAAGTAGGTTGTCCAGAACTGCAGACCACAAAGGTGTATCGTCTTCTGGATGGCTTAAACGCTTACCCTGTTCCCAAACATTTGCCAGAGGATTTACTGTGAGCGTTTCTAAGGGCTTCTTTTGTGCTGTAAGTCAATACTGATTCCTTGCCGTCCGTTTTGTGGCTTCTAGCAACTGTTTTTGCAGTAACGCAGCGTTAAAGTCAAAGAATTCATTTATAAACCAAATTTTCTTTGCCAGTTGGTAGTCAAGCCAGTCAGCATTTCATTACGCAGATCTATATTTGGCGCTTAATGAAGGCTATATTAGCGCTTAGAACTATATTTATCGTAATGAGAACTTGTGTTCTTTACGGCAGATCGTCCTTACTGCAGGGGCTCGTTCGACACCAATCTCCAAGCAATTCTGGTTATTCTTATTTAACAATTTAGTATTTTATAATTATTTGACAGGCATCAGCCATGCGAGATGCATGTAACGCGTAAGAGTATGGCGTGACGCGCCATTTTATAGGGTTTGGCGTAATATGTGAATGCAGGTACATCTTTCGCTCTCTTTAGGATAAAATAAATTAAAATTAAAGATCTGCAATTTGGATTTAACATCTTCTGCCGATTGTTCAAGTAGTAACTCCATATTGCAGTGTAATTAATTTTTGGACGGGCTCGCATACGTTACTAATAAGCACCGCAGTTTAAGCATTTGATGGAGAGCCGAGTTTCTCAGTCGTCGAAAATGAACTTCAAGAAGACAAGAACAGCAGCTCTATGAGTTCTTCGGCAACACTGGGTGCTCAGTAAAGTGGCTGTTGAACTATTTGTAGGTGGGACAGTCCGACTCCGAATACCATTTCTGACATTCGGACGGCCATTCTGACCGAGTCGCCTCAGCGGAAACTGGTGACCCAAACGTTGCATCTATTACCATTCTTGCAATAATTCCATAAAAGAGGCGTTAATTCTGCAGTAAAAGGAGCCTTGAAAATCTAGGTTGATTTATTGTTTTCTTCCATGAAAATTAATTACGGCGCTACTGCCAGATGAATACATTGTATCGGCCCTTACAACTCTTTTGGTTTCATAAAGATGAAACTACTGCAAACCTTGCAGAGCAGCCTGAATGCTGCTCATGCAAAATAAAAGGATCCGAACGTTTTTTCACAACTCTCAATGACTTAGTCGTAGAGCCACTATAACGAGAATAAAACTTATTTATCATCTTTCAATAATTAGATTCTCCACGTTGAAGCATTGATGTTAATTACCGGTGCTTCTTTCAGTAGTTTCTTGACTAAAACAGCGTAGGTCGCAAAAATCCGGCCATCTACGAACAAACATGCACACTGCATTCGTTAACATTGGTAAGTCCGTACACACAACTGATACAAGTTATGCACAACAACGGGCTACTAAACCGGTGGCATTACCACTTTCCCATGGAAAAGGGAATTGTGTTTGGCGTGGGATATTACCTGTGTAACTGTGTTGATACTCTGCCTCCCGCTCGTATTTGAATCAGACTAGTGTAAAGGCCCGAGCGGCAGCTAACCACGTACGCCGAGCCGAGAAAGCAAGAAAGTACAGCTTCCTGTCGGGGTGATACGAGTTTACGGCTGTCGGCTTTGAGACTTTCGGTAGTTTTGGTACATCGGGCAAAAGATTTCTTAACGAGATTGGGAAGAGGGTTTCGCTACAAACCGGCGAGATTCGTAGCATAGAGTTTTTGAAACAGAACATCTCTTTAGACATTCAATGTGGTAATTCTGCATCGGTAATCGGTACCGTTGAAAATGCTGTATTGCTTAATCGTAATTAGATCTTGATATTGTTATCGCGCTATTGAAATAAAGTACATTCTAAACCGCTCGCGTTTCCTTAAGGGATTTGGCCCGGTACATAGCACCAAATTCGTGTACATACACGGGAACTTTCGTTGTCGCGCACTTCCAAACACTTTTTTGGGTCGTTTTTTGACATTGTGTAGCCAAATGATTTGTATACTCGTACATAGGCGTGAAATCCGTTTTTGCGCGCAACATCCGGTTCGGGATTTGTGGCTGTTAGAAAATTCCAAAAAGTTTAAATGCGTTCAGTTGTACCAGAAGTCTCATTATGGGCCGATCCATTTCAAATTTTGCAGGTAAATGCGCGTAACCATGACGATCGTTCTTACACCGATTCACTGTTCTAGCATGCTTTTCAAATTTTATAATGAATTTCAAAAATTTTAAAATACATTTTAAAATTCGAAAAAAATTGTGGAAGTCTGGATCCGTGTAAGAACGATCTTCATGGTTATGTGCATTTACCAGCAAAATTTGAAATGGATCGGTTCATAATGAGACTTTTGGTACACCTGAACGCTTTTAAACTTTTTGGAATTTTCTAACAGCCATAAATCCCGAACCGGATGTTGCGCGCAAAAATGGATTTCACGCCTATGTACGAGTATACAAATCGTTTGGCTACACAATGTCAAAAAGCGACCCAAAAAAGTGTTCGGAAGTGCGCGACAGCGAATATTCCCGTTTATGCACACGAATTTGGTGTTATGTACCGGGCCAAATCCCTTAATGCGGCTATTAACCCGCGGTCTAAAAAAAAAACGGTCCACTAATCAACCGCGGCGGTAAGCACCGGACGGAGCGTAAAAAATTTCGCAGACATTCCATCTCCGATAAACTGTGTTCCGAGTACGTGTCGTGCCATTCCTCAGTGGCGACAGAAATTCCTCCAGCATTATTTCCCAATGTGAAGAAGCACGGTTGTCCTTGAAGCGTGTTCCTAGTTTCGCAAGCACTTCAGAATGCTTCACCTTGCGAGGACTGAGGCCTTTAAATTTTTGCCATCACAATAATAACAGGGATACGATAAAAAGTAAAGATTAAAAAGTAAAAGGTTGTAAAGCAAATAAATTATGAACTGCATTTACTTGCTGATTGATGTTATGCACTTGGATCGGCAATTCGTCCCATGCAGACCGGTACATTGGCTAATTCGTTCCAGATGACGGCAAGAAATGGACGATTAGCTACGAAATTTGGAGAACTGATCATTGTTAATTCGGCCTGGTAACCGGTGCACGGTGCCGATTTAATTCCGTATTCATCCAGTTCTGCAAATACATGTAACGCTTTTGCCCGGGCTCCGAAGATGCGTAAAGCGAAGAAGCTAATTTTTATTATACTCCCATCGACTGCGTGTGGAGTTTTAGGTCGATACCTTAACGCATGCGAAATCTGGGAAACACTGCATAAAAACTGTTGGAACGACTGGCCTGGGCAAGAGTGTTGTACGGAAAAATTTCAAAACGATTTCGACAATTTTGCATGACAATTTTATGATTAAAAATATAAAAAAATGGCATGCTGAAATGCCGATGACAAAACCCCGGCCGAATTTTCTGCTGGTCGAATTTTTGTGTGGTTGAAGAGTCAGCAGAATTTCCCTACCCATACTTTGTACGGGAAACGAAAATTTTATGAAAAACCAATTTGAAATGATTTATACGTTGGCACAACTACACCTTTTCGTTAGTTATTCGTATTGAAACATATGCAGACACGTACTAAGTTATCTCGTATCAGCCAAACGTTCGACAAATAGCAGTCAAAAATAACACAAACGTGCTCAAAATTATTCAACTAGCAATAATAAAGCCGGCATTTTACGGTTATAAAACAACACAAAAATAATTTTACAGCGTGACATAAATGCCTTCCAGCCAACATTACGCCAATTCTAAATCATTTGGCCCTGGCTTTACCAGTTATTGTAATTCTGCCGGCGTTTTTGACCATAAAAAATTACTCGTAGGTCGGCAAAAAATTTTGTCGGCGTTTTGCCATCGAGCTACGCTGAAGTCAAAACACGAATATCAATCACGCTGCACGCATATTAGCTGGACCCAAACACACATGCAGGCTCCAAGTTCCGAAAATTTTTGTAGAAAAGTACTTTCAGTGTAATGCATAAAGTGGTATGCTTAACACATATTTTCATCGGCTGTGGTCAATAGGCCGTTGCCATACAAAAATTTAAATGATACATAGCAGTAACATGCTACGTATTAGTTATTACAGAACACTAGCAGCACAAGTTCATCCGTAATTTTACTTTGATTTTATGGGCATTGCACTAGTGCTGGGATTATTGCGAAAAACCTTTGCCGCACATACTCTGTACTTCTTTATTTTTGCTTGGCCACACCCCACTGAACACATCAGAAGAAATATTTTTAAGCATGCCACGACAGTATACTGCTTATTTTTTACTATTAATATTATTATTGTTATATCAAGAGCAGGCAACCCGATAAACGGAACAACTCTGTAACACAAGCTCTTCAGTTAGGGCACGTATTCACAATTCACAGGCCCGATTCATGATGGAACGAATCCATTACGTAAAGATACAGGTACTCTGGTAACGACGCGTCGACGCCTAAAACGATAGCCACTACACCCTCCGCTAGGTGTAACCCATTAATTCATATTTTTAGCTTTAAGCGCCTTTACGCAATCAGTTTTGAGTCTGGCTTGTACATATACGTAGTTTATCAATCCAGTGTTCGTGATTCGAATTAATCCGTACCTATGGTCACTTCCTGTTTAAATTCGTCAACTTTCACCGGTCCGTCGCTGCTGAGCATCCGCGAAAAACCATTGCTGGACGCTGCATACAGTTCTTGTAATCTCATCGACTGCGTGCATATTTTCAAATCGGCACCGTAACGAATGCGAAATCGGGGAAGAACAATATAAAGACTGACGGTACACGACCGGCTCTTCTGTCGCCAGTCTAGCAGGTTCTCAATCGTCAGCGTCTTCTCCAACGCCACTATTCCGCCATTGCTTTCCCCCGGCAACACAATCATCACAGTGAAATGCCTTCCCACGACGTCCAGAATGAGCAGCTGCGGGTCTTCGTCGTGCACGGGACGGTTGTAGTACGGCGTGACGTTGTAGCAGCGACTGGGGCTGAACGTCTGCGTCATGAAGACCACCGTTTTCTCAGAACCATCGGCGCAGCAGAACGTGCCACTTTCACTGTTTTCGGGGTGAAACGGCTCCTCCCATTGACCGGAAAATTCCACCCGGTTCAGCAGGACCAGCGTGGCATCCGGTCGGCGTTCGTCCAGCCAATGGTGAAACTTGCTCCCCGATCGCCCAAAACCAGACTCTTCGAGGGTGTCGACTGCTTTCTCGAAAGCATCGCGAAAAGGCGCTGGAATGAACTTCGACTGAAGGGACTTGTACTGCGTGTAATGCGGCTGCGCAGCGGAATATCTGTAGTCTTCATTGCTATCTAGATAGATTAGTGTCTCCCTTGTGTGATTCAAGGTGGACTTCTCCACTATGTCCCGATATTCCGAGACTAAACGGCAATTATCATCGTAAAACACAGTGCTAACACTGTTCAATGCGCCGTTGGCGTTAACTTCGTCGAAGGATTCAATTAAATCCGCAAAGGATCGTCCGTTTAGGCACAAAAGATTCGCTAATGCCGAATAGACCTCCCCGTTAGTTCCGGGCAACAGGATAGCAAAGACGACTTGAGCAGCCTGCGGACTAACGGCGATGTTCCGATGGGGACTGTAAGAGGTTTCCACCAGCTTCTTAAACAGTGCCACAGCAAACGAGTTATCCGAATTCACACTGAAGTCGGTCGTATGCGGCGGCGGAGGATATCCACGGGGTTGTGGCCGCGGCCGAGGGACTGGAGGCGGTCTTCTTCCAAGACACTGCTTAAAAAGTTCCAGTAAACTAGGCATTTGGTACGGAGGATAACTGACAGCTTTTACCAGCTGAATTTAACAAGGGAATCAACAGACAGATTCATTATTAAAACCGTCAGACCATTCCAATTTCCAACAATACTACTGTGCAGCAGATATGTGCTTAGTAGAGTAGCAGTATTTTGAGAAGGGAATTATTCACATAATCACATGCAAAATTATTTCAGTTGGTATACAATGCTTAAAGAGATTTCACAATTAGCTACGCAGCTGATTTGTAACGGTAATAACCGTCAAATACTCCACTGCTGTGCGTATATGTGCGGTAAGGAAAAACAATTCTGCCATAGCTCTTGCTAAGTTGCCGGCATTATCGACCGCTAAGCATGCGCGCATGCTTGGCGGTCGATACTGGTTGCGATTTGCCGGCAGTCTCTCCGGCGTTGCACAGTTATTGCACACTAACTGCATATTTTGTAAGTGTGCAACCTACTTTCATAACCCTACGAGTAGTGTATACTGTATAGCCTACACGCTACACCCGTCGCGTTCACTGCGCTAACACCGAGCTTAGTGTTTGTAACATGTAATAATATTTAAATCAAAATGTGCTAAACGGCATGAAAATCCAGTTTCAATTCTTTCCAGTTCAGTAATGGTGGTAAGCACATGCACCCGGCTTATAGTCACTTCGATGAAATTTTAAATAAAAACTACAAGTATTGCACTTCTATTCTGCCTTCGTTTGGTGCATTCACTGCAATGTATGTACCATGCTTGTAGGATTAACGGCGTACTATTACTAACAGCATCATAGATTGAATACCTATGAGAAACTCCTAGTATTCCCAATCTACCAGCCGGAGTATGCCACACACGGGTCTGGACGAGGTCTGTATGATCCGTTTGTTGTGGAATGTGGATGTATTTGGAGATTCTGGTGAATATCAACGTGGCTACGTGTGCGATGTGGGTGAAAACGGCCTATCCGTGAATCCGGACGCTCATACGGTACACTGTGTAGATGCAGTTAGCTGTAGGGAAACCGTTAACAGATTCGTAATCGCATCAGGAAATCATCTTGAAATATGAGTATATGCTGGATCTTGTACTGTATCGAGGTTGCCCCTTCAATGAATTCATTGCAAACTATGGATATTTTTGGCTTCCAGGACATTTTTTGCTTCTTCACAGTGCGAAGTAATGCTGGAGAAATTTCTGACTATTTCTGTCGCCACTGGAATGGTACAACACACTCGGAGGACGAAATGTTTGTATCGTGAAATTAAATGGGGGTCTATGAATTTTAAATTAATTTTGTTAGATTGTTGTCTCCTCTGTTTTCGAGCTGTTTAGAAAGTCATCGGAGACAGAATGTCTGTAAAATTTTTTTTTATCCGTGCGATGCATGCCGCCACTCTTGACCGGTGGACGGTTTTTCTTGATTGACCACGGGTGATAACTACAGTGAGGAAATCCGCGATTTCCCTGTGGTCCTGTACATACGGTTTACGCTAATGCAGAGTCCCGTTTGTCTGTAGAAGGCAGAATTTTTTGCGACCTACGCCCCTTTAGTCAAAGAACCAACAGTTTTGTCTTTGCCGTGCCGCTTGATCGATGAGAATTTTGCAGACAACGGAGAAAATTTCGCATGCATTATGATCAAGGAGCAGTCGTGCTGCTGTACAACGTTCACTGTGGTAAGCTTTTTTTAGTAAAGAAAGTTTCGTTTTACGGAAGTTTCCTGGTTGCACCAACATTATCCACAAAAAGTCGTATGGTATGCCGGTAGAATGTATACAGAAAGCAGTAGCGCCGTAATTTATGTTCACGGAAGAACAAAATTGTCACGACGTGAATAAGCAGAAATATGTACTTGCTGGGTCGCTGACAAGCTGTCAGCGGATATATATGACAGTCATATCAACTGCTGCGTGAAAATTTCTTAACACGGCATACTCTGGCAAAAATAATCAGTCTCGAATTTCAGGGTCCATTTCTTTGCAGTTACAACGTTTCTTAACTAGAATTATTGCAAGAAAGGTAATAGATGCAGCGTTTGGGTCACCAGTTTCCGCTGAGGAGACTCTGTCAGAATGGCCGTCAAAATGTCAGAGATGGTATCGGGAGGCGGACTGTCCCACCTACAAATCGTTCAACAGCCACTTTAGTGCTTTACCCTGCTGTACCCAGTTCGCCCGAAATGGGCTCATACTGTAGCGCTGCAGTTCTTGAGGCTGTCTAACGTTTTTGACGACTGAGAAATTCGGATCGCCATCATTGTTTAAACTGCGCTGCAAAAATCATGAACAAGCCCGTCCAACAATTTATTTCACTGCACTTATCCAATCGGCTGGAGATTTTAACTCTGAACTGCGGTCCAGTGATTTTAATTTATTTAATTTTTAAAGAAAGCGAAAATGTATCTAAATTCAAATATTACGCCGAAATCCATAAAACGGCGCATCACCCCATACGCTTTACATGGCATGGCTGATGCCTGTCAAATATTGGGAAAATAGTCATATGTATTGTTAAATAAGAATAATCAGAATTGCTTACAGACTGGTGCTCGCGCTCGAACGATATCCGCTGTAGTAAAGAACGAAATGCCGTAAAGAACCCAATTTTTCATCACGATAAGTAAAGTTACAAGCGCTAATATTGCCTTCATTAAGCGCAAAATGCACACCTGCGTAGAAAATTGCTGAACGGGCTTGACTAATGACTACCAACTCACAATACAAGAAATTTGCGTTTACAAATGATTGGAGGGTCATATACGTCGCGCTACTGCAGAACCAGTTATCAAGAAGACACAAAAGAACGGCAGCACATCAGTATATACTACTTACAGTACAAAAGAGGCGCTTAGAAACGCCCACAGTAAATTCTCTGGCAGATGTCTGGGAACTGGGAAATCGTTTAAGCCATCCTGCATACGGTGCAGCTTTGTGCCCTCCAGTTCCGGGCAACATACTTCAAAAATCCCGCGAACTGACGCCAAATAATCCGCTTCGTTGTATCGGCAAAATTGAACGATCAATGAGCCACGCCAATATAGAATGTGTCCTAATATCGGTCGTACAGATCGTTGTCCACACATTCCGTGCTACCGTTACGACATATTATAGGGAAATTAATGGACTCTTTCGCATCAAACACACAATTGCGAAGCAGGATATTATCGCATATTGTTCGGAATTCTGGAGACTTATAAGGAAACAACATGTACACATCCGCCTCGGTCAAAGTTATGACATTGGTCGGCTGAGGAAAATCAAACAATTCATGGATGTACAATTGCGCGTTGTCAGTGACGACTAGCCACTTTAGCTTCAATGACAAGAAATTCAGTAATCCGACCAAGGAGAACAGACAGTATTCCCACTATCCAACGAGACACAAAATGCGGCAGTGGTCCGTGACAGCTCGAGCCAGGTAGTGGATACAAGCGAAACTTCCCTTCCACATCCACGTTCTGCATGATGAGAGCTCATCAGGATTCACGGCATCATTAATAGGCCGCATCGGCATAATGACACACGACTGGATTATACTGGAGTTTAACAAATGTTGAAACGCCTTACTAACCCTGTAACGCAAGCAACATATCGTGGCAACCGGCAGTTATAACATTACCAAATTCTAATTAATTTTAACGGTTAAGAATCCGTTTATTAGTTTATTTTACCGTTTATCTGATTTTGTCTTCCCATTATTTAGTTTTGTAGAAGAAACGTTGCTTCCTAAAACCTGGTTACCTATTAATAATTTTTTATGCACGGTAACGGCAGAGGCGGTCAGAATGAAGGCATCGGTCATGTTTTGTTGGACTAACAAAGTATGACCGCGCAACGCGCATTTGTTTTTTGATTTTTGAAGAATAGAGTCGAATTTTTAAGGATTCTGATGTTACCAAGTGAATGCTGATCCGACGTAAACGTGTTCGGGGAAGCCCCTTGTAAAAATAGGCAGGAAGCCAAGATAAAACTTTTAACTATGCCGTTAAATAGTAAGGTTTGACTGCACCATAATTTTGTATAAAACGTTTCAAGAATTTTTGAAACTTATTTGTCTCAACGACTCCATTGCAGATGAAATGACTAATGTCCAGATTGTGTATAGTAGAATAATTAAAAAATTTAATGAACTGTGCAGCATTCACGAGATTCTGTGTTTCGTCCTTTCTGCTTCTTGGCTCCTTCTCTAATCCTATGTCTCTTCACATCACATCTTTACTGTTTCTCTAGCTACACTTCTTTACTTCTCAAGCTCAAGTTGGATCTTGCTACGATCCCAAACAGCTATAAAGCTGCGCGTACAAGCTACCGACACTAACCTTACATAACCCAACGTAGGCCCGATAATTCGAACCAGACATTATCTGTATATTGGACAAACTGCTTTGCGCTACCTAGAAAGCATTTGCTGAGACGTTCACTAAAGTACCGACGGTATACCTTTTAAATAAATTTTGATGGAATATGTCCAGATTCGAGTAGATGAGGATTTGAACTTCCAAGATTAGCTCATCAAAGCATGGCTCATCGTCACGAAACTCTGCAAATCAGAAAGGCTTCGAAGCTAGTTACCTAGTGACCCATTTACTAATTTTAGCAGCGAAGGATCGCATCAATTCCGAGTTTCAGGAGCATCGTTTCTAGAGCGGAAAATATTTGTGGCTATTTCCTAGTGCTTGCATGTCTTCATACCTTCTGACTGTAGGACGGTGCAGGCCAGGCCACTGAATATTTCACCGACTGTCCAGCGCTGCATAAGGAACAAGCCTTCCACAAAATCCGCTATCGATTTCCGCACTGGAAGATAATCGTCATTGTGGCCTTTGCCGGCAGTGTAGTCGTGTTTCAACTTGTTATAAAGTTCAGCGCGCTTAGGGGCGAGCAGCAGCTCCATATACTCATCGTGAAGGCCAAGTAACATTGTGTGAGTGTCTCTCAGCCAGAATGTATGGAATCGTGGGAACGAACACGCTGTTCTCAGAAAGCGCACGGGATGCGGATATTCCTCTGACGTATTGAACATAAGTTCGCGGACTTTTAGAAAGGCATTCCGTTGGACCACTGGGCCGAGATCTCCGCGTTTACGCACCCGCTGCGTCAGCGCTGTGGGTCCATCAATAAGGGTGTACTGCGCAACGGTTGTATCCGGAAGGGTCACCTTCACGGTGACGACGGGATATCTGCAAGAACTACGGAGGTACCATTCCGTACCGGTACACCGAACGCT